TAGTAAAGGAATCTCCTCTCAGGATGGCAAAAGTGTTTTCACTGTGGGAATGAAAGCTCCAATAGGAGCCCCAGAGACAGATGCCAGAAATAGTGTAGTATGTCCAAAAATCAGTGCTTTATTGAAAAAGGTAACAGGGCAGTAACAGGGCAGTATGCATGTAAATCATATATTAACATAGATATGCAGCAGTACTGACCCTTGATAGTGATGACCGCCGGGCCTCCCTCGTGGCTCCGGCGGTGGAATGACGTCACGCTCTGCACAGCTCCTCCTAAGGCCTTACGTGCTACAGGCACATCATCAGAGGGGAGGCTGTACAGGAGCGTGGGACCCGACGTCAGTGTTAAAATAGAAAAAATGGCACATGCGCAGTTTAGCCGCGGCCATTTTCCCGGAGAAAGCATCTACTGCGCATGCGCGAGCACGGCAGCGCCATTTTGCCTTGGATCCGCGATCCGTACAGAAAGCGAGGGGGAGACACAGAAGTCTCATAACACAGGATCCAGTGCGTATGCTAGTTATGCCGCAGACCCCCAGGGACTCTATGTCAGATATTATTACCCTTAAGACAGTGACAGTGAAACTAAAATAAAAAAAAGCAGTACCTGTGCGCATGATGTATGGGGTACAGAAATCCCCCTTCAGTGATTGGCATAAGATTGCAATAACGGACCACGGCAAGATGAAGAACAACATAATGAATATAATGAATGAAATCATACTAAGACTTTATATAAAAGCAATGGAGATAAAAACAAGGTATAAGATCTGGGCAGTAAATAACATATTTAGTGATATACTGCCCAATCAAACCGGGGTAATGTAATAATTATATACATAAACAAATAATCATGATAAGTGTATATAAAACAAATAAGGAATAAAAAGAGATAAAAAAAAGACCCTAAAAATAGCCCATAGAAAAGGCCGTCGTGATCATTCCTGCAACCGTCATAAAAATTAGGAAGTCAAACGGGGCAGAAGCAATGATCATAATACAAATAAGACCAATAAATATTAGTCAGTTCAGGCTGAATGAATGTCCGAATAAAAATGAAACGGTGTTTCCAACACATGGAGAAGAAGCACGCTAAGAGTGCAACTAAATGCAGGGAATAGGATTAATCAGCAATACATGTCAGATAAAAATAGGCTCAAAATACATAAAGCAGAAATGGAAAAAAAGACATAAACCACTCAGCTGTTTTAGCCAATGAAGCAGTTTAAGTCTACCTCATGTTATGGCACTAAAGGGTTAAAGTTTGGAGCTCAAACACCCATTTAGTCTCGGCTTGGGAAACCGCCCTAGTTTTGTTAATACCCCTCCAATGGTTATTGATCACATCGATACCAATGAATTTCAGTGAAGATGGGTCATTATTATGGTGAAGGCGGTAATGGTTCGATAATGAGTGCTCCCTAAACCCTTCTTAATGTTTGAGACGTGTTCACGTAGTCGATGCGCATGCGCAGTAGATGCTTTCTCCGGGAAAATGGCCGCGGCATAACTGCCGCATGTGCCGTTTTTTCTATTTTTTCTATTTTAACACTGACGTCGGTCACGCTCCTGTACAGCCTCCCCTCTGATGATGTGCCTGTAGAACGAAAGGCCTTAGGAGGAGCTGTGCAGATGACGTCATTTCCACCGCCGGAGCCACGAGGAGGAGCCCGGCGGTCATCACTATCAAGGGTCAGTACTGCTGCATATCTATGTTAATATATGATTTACATGCATACTGCCCTGTTACTGCCCTGTTACCTTTTTCAATAAAGCACTGATTTTTGGACATACTACACTATTTCTGGCATCTGTCTCTGGGGCTCCTATTGGAGCTTTCATTCCCACAGTGAAAACACTTTTGCCATCCTGAGAGGAGATTCCTTTACTACACCTGGCTTGACCTTAAGGGGACCCCTGGACCTTATCAAAGAGTCTGTGATGACCCACCATGAGGGAGATGCCTGGCTGCCTAACCTCTGATGTTCCCATTTGCCTGTGATGCATAATCACACATGCGCATATCCTATGCGTTTCCGGTGAGTGCGCATTTTCTACTATTTTGACAGAGTGGAGGCCGTGGGAATTCGCATCCATGCAGTGATTTACTGCAGATACCTACACATTGACTTTTTTTTACTTGGTTAAGCACTCACTGTGGTTACTTACTTATTGTCTTCCTCACCTGGTTAAGCGCTGCACTTTATTGTTTTAAAGGTCATATCAATATGTTTAGCATGTTTGGTGTGTAAAAAGAAAATGCTCCTTCCACCATCCCATATACAAATTCCACTGTATTATAGTATATTTTTATTTTTTTAATATGATTTTTGTGGGTAATGTGGATGTCAGTTTTTATTTTGTTTTGTGTCCAAAGTATAGCAGCTCACAGATCATTTCCACCTAAGATACCTTAAGATACACCTTAAGATACCTAGCAGGTGCTATTGATGGGAGGGGTGTGTAGGGTGGTGAACTGCTATATATTGTCTTAGTTTTCTTGTAAGAATACTATCTTTTTTTGACTGAAAAAAACATTAGCGTTTATCGTTCTATGCAGCATATTACTTTTTTTTTCTTGTTAATTTGTTTAATTTAACTTACATTTACATACAATTTTAATACAATGACCTGCAAATTTCAGTTCTGTTGAACTTTTTTTTTTTTTCATTGTTTATTTGCATGTGATAAAGAATTTTTGCTTTTCACCTTGGTACTGATATTCGATATCTTAGAATCATGCTAAAAGTGGGTGTACATATCTATGGTTGCGCAATGGCTCTTTTCATTGCCAGTGTACAAATCCTCCTCCTATAGGTAGCACTGAAACCCAGTTGTCTCAGATTAACTAAATCCTTTGTCCCTTAAAGTGATACTAACTCACACTGTTTTAAATTACATTATCCCTTTCTTTATATGGATCATGGTACTGTAATTATTTTAGAAAAAATATCTAAGTACCTTTTTCCTAATTGATATACAGCTGTCCCATGATCCAGCTCTTTCCCAGCCTGTCTGCAGGGAAACATAAACACTAGAGGCTTTGCCCCCTGCTGCTGGTTACATATTCAAAAAACAGCCTTTGGGATACAGAGTAAAAATGAATGATTAATATCAATAAAATATTTTAAATAATATATTTTTTAAATAAACTCTTTATTTTTTGGCAGTAACATGGTGTGGGTGAATTTCTGCCAGTCACAGGCTATGCCACGCCCCTCCAGCCTGTGTCTTAGAATAACAGGAAGGTGAAGCCTCCATCAATCAAGATGTAATATCCCACACCCATTGTGTTCAGTTGTTTTAGTCGACATGGAGGAAGAGGGAGGGCGTGGGCTGTCATTTACCACGGTGTAAGTCGCATGGTCTGCTCAGATGTAATAAAGTGGAAATACACAGCATAAAAATTCAGTGAAAACTGAGCATGTGCTGTAGCTGCCAACACTGCTCTGCAAAATCCCCAACCGCATTTGGACAGAATGGGGAAATAGAGAACAGCAGGATCAACTACGTTTTTTGCAAATCAGAGAAAATTAATTCCACAATGAATGAGTGAGCCTGAATAGCATGCAATGCACTAATTTTGATTTCTTTGATCATGTGGGTTTAGTGAGACTTTAATGAATAAGATAATTGTGGGCAAATCCTTTTTCAGCTCCTTGTCCTATTGAATTGTTTTCTTTTGTACACAAACATAAAAGGCCATTCGCTCATTTGGCTAATCAAGTCAAATTAGTTGTTTCCATTCTTTAGTGGAAATCTAAGTCTCCATAACATTAATCATAGTTATAATGCACAAAATCTACAGATACATGCCCTGTTCTCTTTTTGCTGATTACAGTGGGTAAATCATTGATTCTTATTGAATTGATGCACTGCTCTCCGTGTAACTTGTGGCAGGCTTCAAATACAGATTTCTAACTTCTGCATGTTCCTCTTCTTCTGTTTCTATAAGTATTGATAGGAATAGCAGTAGGCAGTTCTTGAGCTGACCTAGAGCCATTTCATTCAAACTCTCTGGCCTTTCCTCTGCTTTCTCTTCTCTTATTTTTTTTTTTTAGGTTCCTTCTGGTTATGCAATGCTACATCAGCCTACAGTGGAATATTGACTATGATCCTGGATCATGCACTGTGAGGTATCGTGATAGGTGCTGAAGATTACACATACTTAAAACCTTATGATCCCACTTTATCAGTTGTTAATAGACAGCATGCTCACGTATCCAGTTGTTGCTATCAGTCAAGTGTTGCTATATCTTGCAGCATTTCATTGATGCAGTGTATGCATTTATTTGATGTGGTGTACTCATTTGATGTATCAGGCATACTGGTATACAATCTTAAGTTAGAAAAAAAAAATAATGGGACTTGGACTTTGTGGTGGCTAATATCAATAAAAAGCTTGACCTCCTTTTAGATGGGAGCCAATTTCGCCTCCTACATCTGACTCTGTCTTCCTGCTGCTCTTCTCTAGTGGAGATTCAGTATTCCTTCAACCCTTCTATAGATACTTGGTCTGCATACCGGATATATCACTTTTTGAAGTCCTCTGTCCCCAAATATGAGGCATTGCATGACAGAGATTTTGTGTCTAGCTACCTAATACATTGCACACCTCCTGTCTCAAATTTATAAACTATTGATTGCACCTCGGATTTTTTTTTCCTGTCTTACATACGTACATGGGAGGACGACCTACAGTTAACCTTCACGCCAGCCCAGGTGGAACAAGAAATTTTATTTGCCCAAAAGTCTTCCATTGCCAACAAGTTCCAGCAGCAAGGCTACAAAATTCTGTCCCGAGGGTACAGGGTCCCCACCACTCTGCCTAAGATCTTCCCACATACATTGAAATTTTGCTGCAGATGTGGGAAGGAGGAAGGCTCTTATGTATATACACAATAATGCTAAAAATATTGGGACACCTCTCCAAATCATTGAATTCAGGTGTTCCAATCACCTCCATGGCCAAAAGGTGTATAAAATCAAGCACCTAGGCATGCAAACTGCTTCTACAAACATTTGTGAAAGAATGGGTCGCTCTCTGGAACTCGGTGAATTCAAGCATAGTGCCATTATAAAAAAAAAAGCAGAGCTCTGAGGAAGGGGGTTCATCTCCCAAAACGCGTTAGCTTATCCCTATTTAGGGCACAGCATTTGTGTGACTGTTATACCACATATTCTGCCTTTATCTACGTTGGTTTGTGAGTATATACCCATTTGTCTATTCAATAAATACGTGGTGTAGCACGGTAATGCACGATGAAAGTGCGCCCTTGTCTGCTTTTTTTTCACCAGTGTTCAGATTTCCCGATCTTTGAAGGGCAGCACCTCTTCGTCTGGCATTTTTAATTTCTTTTAGTCTGCATGAGGATTGGAGCGCTGGTTTCGTTTGTTTGTCTTTTGGATTGTAGTACCATGATAGGTTGCCACTTATGCAATAAGTCCATCCATAAAATTTTCTTGCTACTAAAAATTCCACAGTCAACTGTTAGTGGTATTATAACAAAGTGGAAACAACTGGGAACAACAGCAACTCAGCCACAAAGTGGCCACATAAAATGACAGAGTGGGGTCAGCGCATGCTGAAACATACATTGTGCAAAAGTCGCCAACTGTCTGCAAAGTCAATAGCTAAAGACCTCCAAACTTCATGTGGCCTTCAGATTAGAACAACAACAGTGCGTAGAGAGCTTCATGGAATTTGTTTCCATGGCCGAGCAGCTGCATTCAAGTCTTACGACCCTAAGTGGAATGCAAAGCGTTGGATGCAGTGGCATAAAGCAAGCCGCCAGTAGACTCTAGAGCAGTGGAGACATGTTCTCTGGAGTGATGAATCACACTTCTCTGTCTGACAATCAGATGGACGTGTCTGGCAATTGCCATGAGAACGGTACTTGGGGGGTTATGGTGTGGAGTTGTTTTTCAGGGGTTGGGCTTTGCCCCTTAGTTCCAGTGAAGAGAACTCTTAAGGCATCAGCATACCAAGACATTTCGGACAATTTAATGCCCCCAACTTTGTGGGAACAGTTTGGGGATGGCCCCTTCCTGTTCCAACATGATTGCGCACCAGTACACAAAGTAAGGTCCATAAAGACATGGATGAGCGAGTTTGTGGTGGAGGAACTTGACTGTCCTGCACAGAGTTCTGACCTTAACCCTATAGAACACCTTTGGGGTGAATTCGAGTGGAGACTGCGAGCCAAGCCTTCTTGTCCGACATCAGTGCCTGATCTCACAAATGCGCTACTAGAAGAATGGTCAAACATTCCCATAGACACACTCCTAAAACGTGTGGACAGTCTTCACAGAAGAGTAGAAGCTGTTATAGCTGACAAAACACCTTTGGGATGAACTAGAGCAGAGACTGTGAGCCAGGCCTTCTCATTCAACATCAGTGCCTGACCTCACAATTGTGCTTTTGGGAGAATGGTCAAACATTCCCATAGACACACTCCTAAACCTTGCGGAAAGCCTTTCCAGAAGATTTGAAGCTTTTATAGCTGCAAAGGGTGGGCCAACTCAATATTGAACCCAACGGACTAAGACTGGGATGCTATTAAAGTTTAAAAAAAAACATAAATACCAATAAAAAAAATAAAATAAAAATGTAAAAACAATTTTTAAAAAATTATAATTTTTGGTTATTAACTAATTTGGGTTATTTTTTTTGGACTTTTTTCCATTTTTATAGCAAAAAAAATCCCAGTGGTGAATAAATACCACCAAAACAAAGTTTTATCTGTCTAAAAAAAGCGCTAAAAAAAATTCATATGGGTACAGTGTTGCATGACCACGCAATTGTCCTTCAAGACTGGAAAAGGGTGAAAGTGTCCGGACCTGAAGTGGTTAAGTGGGGAAGATATCATCTTTATAGTGTATGTTTCCTCAAGTATTCTTATTTCTTTTGTTAGTATTGGTATGACACAAAAAAGTGGAGAAACAAGGAGCCAAATCTGACACATTCAATTTAAGTGAAGTGATGCATTATCTGACAAAAATGCAGAAGTGCCAATATTGTTCGCAGGGCCATCTTAATAGAATAATGGACCCCTGGGCAAAGTAATGCCCCTACCAGCCTACCCCAATTTATGCACCTACTTTCAGGAATAAAAGCATAGCATGGCACAGTACAGGGGGATCGGTATAGCACAGTATAGGCCTAGTACAGAGGTCAAGAGGGCACAGTACGAGAGGTCAGTAGGGCACAGTGCCGGGGGGTCAGTAGGGCACAGTGTGGGTGGATCAGGAGTGCACAGTGCAAGGGGTCAGGAGGTGAGAGTGCGGGAGGGTCAGTTAGGTGCAGTACAGGGAGTCAGGATGGCACAGTATATGGGGTCAGGAAGGCACAGTGTGGGTGGGTTGGGAGGGCACAGCACGGGGGTCAGTAGGATACAGAAGGCAAAGTGTGGATGGGTCAGAAAGGCAAAGTATGGATAGGTTAGGGGCACAGTGTGGGTGGGCTAGCATAGTATGCGGGTCATGGGGTACAATGTGGGTGGGTCATGAGGGCACAGTATAAGGGTCAGTAGGGCACAGTGTGGGTGACGCAAGAGGGCACAGTACATAGGTAAGTAGGACACAGTTTGGGTGGGTCAGTAGGACACAATGTGAGTGGGTCAGCATGGCACAGTGTGGGTGACTCAGGAGGGTACAGTGTGGGTGACTCGGAAGGGCACAGTGTGGGTGGATCAGGATGGCACAGTATAGGGGTCAATATGGCACACTGTGGGTGGGTCATGAGAGTATGGGGGTCTTTAGGGCACAGTGTGGATGGGTCAGGAATGCACAGTACGGGGGTCAGTAGGGAACAGTGTCGGTGAGCCAAGGAGGCACAGTATGTGAGCAAGTAGGGCACAGTACGGGGATCAGTAGGACATAGTGTGGGTGACTCAGGAGAGCACGGTAGGTTGGTGGGTCACAGTATGGGGTTCAGGGGAGCACAGTGTGGGTAAGTCAGGTGGGCACAGTACAGGGGCCAGTAGGGCACAGTGTGGGTGGGATAGGAGGGCACAGTAGGGAATAGTTTGGGTGGTTCAGGGGGCACAGTACAGGGGGCAGCAGGGAAGGGAACAGAGTATGTGGTTCAGGAGGGCGCAGTGTGGGTGGGTCAAGAGGGCACAGTGTGGGTGGGTTAGGAGGCACTGTTCGGTTGAGTCAGAAGGGCACAAGATAGGGTGCAGTAGGGCACAGAGTGGGTGTGTCAGCCTGTTTGAACTATGGACTCACCCATTTTGCATCTACTAATATCCTCCAACTGATTTTTTTGCCGCTGCAGCTGCACACAGACACCAGCTAGTACCATGTTTTGTGTGTCTGTGCACATGAGGGAGGGGCTGCTAACACAGACACACCAGGGATTGGCTACTTTACAAGGGCTCTCTTTACTCAGTACCCCTGTAGCTGTTCATTCTGAATCCTGTCTCTCAATATCTCACTCACAGGATTTGTGTGAGATATTGAGTGACAGGACCAGCACAGCCACAGACAGCATAGTTCACTGTGCACCCAACCCATTCCCAGCCACGAAGTACCGGCTGAGCAGTGGGTGAAGCCTGGAGGCAGAGCCACTGACATTTGGCAATGATTGATCACAGACACAGTGACTCACTGAGGGAGGCTCAGGACAGGTGACAGCCCAGCTAGCAGGTGGAACAGAAGATGCTGCTACTTGCCAGTGCCTACTCAGCCTGACTCCTGAGCCCCACTTCTGTTACGTATTTGTCTGGCCCTGCTGGGGCCCCATGCGCACATGGGGCCCCTGGGCAGTGCCCACTCATTAAGATAGCCCTGATTCTTTGCCATGATTGTAAATCTTAAGTCTTTGCAGTACAGGAAGGATGATTGTTTCTATTCAATAACTTCAATCATCATCCCTATCTGTATTTTATTCTGCAACAGATAGGCATCCTTCTCTTACCATCACACACTGCACAATGCAGGAGGACTGATGCTCACCCTGATTGTTTGGTTTTTCCTATTTTGAGTATGTCTTTTGAGTCTCCAGATCGGTTTATGCTGAATGAGTCCAACCGCCTGTGTGCAAGCCGGATATATTTTGGAAAATATATTACTACTCTAAATATGAGCTGTGCTTTCCTTACTGTGCTTTCCTTATTTTAGATTTTCACATTCATTCAACAAAAGGGCATATTTTGTCTATTTATTTATTTCAGGTACTTATATAGCGCTCTCAATTTACACAGCGCTTAACACATATATATTGAACATTCACATCAATCCCTAACCCTCAAGGGGTGTACAATCTAAGGTCCCTAACTCACATTCATACATACACATATTAAGGCCAATTTAGACAGGAGCCAATTAACCTACTAGCATGTCTTTGGAGTGTGGGAGGAAACCGGAGCACATGGAGGAAACCCACGCAAGCAAGGGAGAACATGCAAACTCCATACAGGAGGCGCCATGGTCAGGAATCAAACCCATGACCCATTTACTGCAAGGCAGACATACTAACCACTAAGCCACTGTGCCGCCCGACTAGACTTTATTACATATTTCTTTCCTGAATTCTACCAACTACCAATATGCTTCTTTCCCGAAAGCTACCCACTACCAATTCTCTATGCTTCTTTTAATGGAAAGTTAATTATAGTACTGAAATCTTGCACAGACTCTGCAGTGCATCGGGTTAACAGTTTTCAATAACGTAGCAAAAGTTCAGTAAGTTTCATTGCTCCAATAAAAACTACAAGGCACTAGTATTTATATACAATAATAAATATTTATAATTCTATAAATAGGTCTACTGTACATGAAGTTTATTATTGAAAAGATCTGTACAATCATACAAATAAAATCTTGCGTGGTAAATAGCAGATTGATCATAAAAAATTGCAATTTTTTTAAATGCCCTATGGTCAGCTCTGAGCAAAATACAATTTTAAAGTCGGCTAGATATTTCTGTCCTGATTTCAGCCTCTGCTGGTTCTTCTAGGTTTGTACTTGTGATTTCTAATCTCTGCAACATTCTGGGTCCTGTTAGCCCAATAATTAATGCTCCTATGGGTGCTGTGATTAAGATTGCTAGGAAAGCTACAGTTAGGACATCCATGCCATAACCTTCAAATTCTTTGTTTCCAGTGCTTCTTGCCATATCCAAAGCGACTGAACCAATAGCAGCCTGAATAAAAAATAAAAAAAAAGTACATTTAAAAAATGGGTAGAGGCTGAAAACTCAACTTCTGAGAGAGTCAAAGGTGAGTAGTTTGGCATTTTAATAGTAACATAACAGACTGGAAAGGTAAATAGTTTAGCCACCTGTTACATGGGAGCAAATCAGCTCTGGAAATGCTGCATGTGGCACAATCACAATTTCATGCAATGTGTTTTTGCAATGGGCCAATAATATTCAGTGTATTTTAGTTAAAGCCTTGATCATTTCTATTGCATCACTATATTGCTGCTGTACTTTTAGGCTGCATTCACATCTGAGTGTTGCGTGAATTCATGCATTTTTGCACTACACCGATAGGGCAGAACATTTAATTGACTGGCTTAAAGAGAAATGGTGCAACATTTTGTGGACCGATGAAAGTAAGATTGTTCTTTTTGCGTCTAGTGGCCGGAGACAGTTTGTCAGACGACCCCCAAACACTGAATTCAAGCCACAGTACACTGTGAAGACAGTGAAGCATGGTTGTGCAAGCATCATGATATGGAGCTGTTTCTCATACTACGGTGTTGGGCCTATTTATCGCATACCAGGGATCATGGATCAGTTTGAATACATCAGAATACTTGAAGAGGTCATGCTGCCTTATGCTGAAGAGGAAATGCCCTTGAAATGGGTGTTCAACAAGACAACGACTCCAAACACACCAGTAAACGTGCAACATCTTGGTTCCAGACCAACAAGATTGACGTTTTGTATTGGCCAGCCCAATCCCCGGATCTTAATCCAATAGAAAACTTGTGGGGTGACATCAAAAATGCAGTTTCTGAGGCAAAACCAAGAAATGGAGAAGAACTGTGGAATGTAGTCCAATCATCCTGGGCTGGAATACCTGATCACAGCTGCCAGAAGTTGGTTGACTCCATGCAACACAGATGTACAGCAGTTCTCAGAAACAGTGCTTATACAACTAAATATTAATTAAGTTATTCAAAGGAAAGCAAAATCTTCAAACATTTTTCAGTTTATATAGTGAATGTTTGAGTTTGTAAAGAAGAATACAAACACTGCTATTTTTTTGAACAGTCTAATATTCACTTTTCTTCACTTTTTTTTTTAGAGGAACAACACAAATTTGATATATTGTTCTTCATGTTTTGATTTGGAATAGAATGTGTAGTGTTCCCAATGCATTTGTGTGTATAAAAATAAAAGCTATTAGAAGGATTTTGAGCTTTATTTACTTTTTTCAACACACTGCTATTATTTTGAACACAACTGTATGTGCGGCAGCAAAAGGGTGCACTTGTGCTGAGAGTGCTTCGAAGACAGCTCTTGGTCCAGGCTAAAGATCAGTAGCTGACATGACTGGCTTTCAATTGTGTCCACATTGTACTTCCAGCCCACTTTAGTGTTGTTTATCCACCCCTCATCTCCTTTTAAACATACACAGAATGGCTTGTATAGTGTGGGCCATTCACCAAAAACAATTGTTCTGTGAATGGACAAGGGGAGAAGAGGAGCAGATAAAACAATATTAGAGTGAGCCGCCATGGGCCAGAACTACAGTAATAGCCCTACGCTCTGGCATGGATGGAATTATGAAATTTACTCTTCAGAGCAGCAATTTCAACATGACAGTGATTTTTTTTTTTTAACACAGTGGATATGCTCAAACATTTCTGCTCAGAGTCCCACTTTAAAGTATTGCTGCTGCTTGGTGTGAGTGATGCTAGTGTTTTCCTCTGATCATCTCCCAGGCTCTCAAACAAGCATTACATGTGAAATCCCAGTGTTTTCACTCTTGTGACAGTATGTAAAATAAAAATAAATAAAAACTGTAAAAAAAAAATTACATTATAATATTATTAGCAGTATTTTTTTTCACTGTCACCAGTCAGTGTCCCTAATCACTGCTGCACCTCCCTGATCACTGTCAGACCAGTTACAGTGTCCCTGATAATCGCCGCAGCAGTTACACTGTCTCCAATCTATAAGTACTTGTTCATATTCATGAGGCCCTCTGAAGATGGCTCTTCAGAGAGCATTTGACAGGCAGTGAGGAGGTATTGTATTGCCTCCTCACCACCTGCTTTAAGCCCATGGACCACCCCACAAGCAACTCTATTCACTTGGATGGATCAGGGGAAGGGGGTAGCAGTTGAGGGGTGGTAAAACATTGGCTCAGCCGAAAGTATTTTTTACCACTCCCCAACATCATGTGTGAATGAGCCCTAATAGTGCAGCCAGTCACAACTGAGTGTTCCTGATTGTTACGACACCAGACCAATGTCACCAAATCAGTGCATGCCAGCAACAGTGTACCTTATCACTGCCATACCAGTGTAAGCCAGCAAAAGTGTTCCTGATTGCTGTTACGCATGTTCCACTGTCACTAGACCAGTGCAACCAGCAACAGTGAGCCTGATCACCGCCACACCTATGCAGTGTTGTCTCTGCCACCCACCTGTACTAACCCTGGCTGTTTCTTTAGCACTTTTGTGCCTGTTGCCTGGACTGATCCTTTGTCTGTTTGATAACCATGTCTTTACCTGCGCTGGAACTGATCCATCTGAATGTCTAACTATGTTCCTGTGAGACACCAGTCCCAGCCATCCCCTGCGGACAAATGCATTCCTGGAACCACAAGAACTTTTCTGTTCTTCCTTTCTTTAGCCTCCTGAACTTCCTGGGCAGTGATAATGGCATTCCTGGGGGAAGCCACGTACAGTAGGCTTAGTTTGCTTGGCTTATAGGAACTGGGACTGATATAGGTGAGGCTACACTAAGCTATATTTCCTGACCACTTGTATAGAGGTGACAATTAGAGTACATTGTTTTTGTTAAAATTGGTTGATTTGTGTGATACACTAGACACAATGTCCGGTATGATCAGTTCAAACACTGAAAAAGTCTCACATGTGGTATTGCCATAATCAGGAGTAGCAGAATGTGTTTTGGGTTTTAATTCTAAGTATGCCTATGCTGTATGGGAGAAAAATATCTTATTAAATTGACAACTCTTGTGTGAAAAAATAAATTATCATTTTCTCTAAACTAGACTGGATTGCAGTCCTGAAAATTTTCATACTACCCAAACTGCTATACATCTTTAGGACCCTCTCTATACCATTACCTTCTAACTTCTTTTACAATCGTCAAAGACAACTAGCTCATATATCTGGGAATCCAAACGGCCTAGATGTGCCACTAATTTATTGCTAAGCCCACTTAATAGAGGTGGTGCGGACCTCCCCCACCTATAGTCTTACTACCAAGCCACCCTTTTGGACCAAATATACTATTGAAGGCACCCCCCCGCTAAAGAAAAAATTTGGTTCAAAATGGAATCATTAATATTTTGCCCGCTCTTACCACAAAATCTCCTCCTCCTACGCTCTCTAGATCAGGTGCACCTTGATTTAAACCATCCTTGAATTAAGGCATCATTAGAGGCCAGGTCTAAAATGTCCCACAAATTCCTAGAATCAAGATCGATACCACTTCCCATTGACACTTTACGTTTTTGATACCTTATCCCAACCTAACTTCATGGGAAAAATGTGGTATACACATACTGTTAGACCTTCATATAAATAATAAAGTAGCTCCTTTCCAATACCTACAAAACAAATTCTCCTTACCTCCCTTGGACCACTTTACTTACATGAGGATTACCCACTGCATACATTTTAATAAAATTCCCCCTATTACTACCCTCCCGTGTCCTGTCTTTGAATACTTTAACAACCCCACATACCAAGGTAAAGGAATCTCCCTTTTCTACGCCTATATCACAAATCTAAAATTCAACCTTAGAACAACCTCCATAAAAAAAAATAGGAATTGATACTAGCTCAAAAAAATCTCAGTCCAAGCCTGACAAAAGGCCTTCATATTCACATCTAAATCTTCCCACTTAACCACGCACTGGGAATCATACCTGAAAATCCTCCATCAATGGTATTTAACAGCTGTTAGACTTTCAAAAAACGTATCCTACACACTCTCCACAATGCTGGTGTCAATGTGGAGAATTAGGATCCCTACTACACCTTATGTGGTGCTGCAAATTACTTAGATCCTTTTCCCGCATCACTTCCAGTCGCCGCACAGCCTCTCGCTGACGCGTTTCGTTACTTCCGACTTATTCATATAAGTCAGACGTGACGAAACGCATCAGGAAGAGGCTGTGCGGTGATCGGAAGTGACATGGACTGGAACCGGAAGTGACGAGGGAGCGTCTGAGAGTGGAGGCTGGCGGTGGTAAGAGCACTGTTTGGTCTTTTCTCTCACAAACATCATAGCTATTAACATTTTTGGGCTTTATTACTTGTTATATCTTGTAAGTAGCATTCTTCGGTGGAGAATAAAGTGTTTAAGTGGTACTACACCATGTGGGCTTCTCATCTTTTATCTTCTATGTGATATATTATGAGTGGAGTATTGCAAGGAAGCTTCTTTTAACCCTGGAGATCGGAAACGGTTATTCTAGGAGTCCAGTACTACAGGTTGAAGGGAGATCTGGTCCCTGGAGAATTATGTATCAAAGCTCAGTATGCCAACCATGAGAGTGGGATGCAACAAATTTTGGTGAGTGCACACCCGAGAGGGGAGCACCACACAGAGTTATATTACGTTTTGGCACAGGTATTCACGTGGTGATTATCGGATAATCTAAGTGATTTATTTTATGAATTATTTATGATTTCTGTCACGTGGTGATCACAGGAATGGACTGAAACATTTGAACTTTTTTACTTAATTTAGAATTTGATATTGATGCATACGCTGCTAAAATATTTTTTCTTTAAATATTTTTCTTGTATGTGTTTAATAATGTAATGTGGCAACATGGTATTTGTAACACTGATATAATTATAGAAGCGATTTATACATTTTTTAGGAATTGATGGTATTTTGAGGCACAGACTTCAAGTTGCGTTTTGGCAAAGCTCAGTCGTGACTACATGTGGCCTTTCTCGAGGAGTGGCTTTTTTACTTGCAACCCTCCCATACAAGCCATATTTGTGGAGAATTTGTGATATTGTTGTCACATGCACACATTGACTACTCTATGTCATACATTCCTGCAGCTTCTTCAGACTTGCTGTAGGCCTCTTGGTAGCCTTTCTGACCAGTTTCCTCCTGGCTCTTTCATCCAGTTTGGAGTCCCGTCCTGATCTAGGGAGGGTCTGTGTTTTACCAAATACTTTCTACTTAATAATTAACTTCACTTTGCTTTTAGGCATTGATAAAGCCTTTTAATTTTTTTTTTTATCCATCTTCTGACTTGTGCATGTCCACAACTTCATCCCAGAGATCTTTTGATAGTGCTTTGCCACCCATAATTGATTATTTGCTTCAGTTGCACTACCGGAACTGAAATGCTCCAGGAAAGCGGAGCTAATAAAAAAGACTACATCTGATCACAGTTGAAAGTCAAATGGTTTTGTGTGTCATTGAGAAGGTGATTAGCTACACCTGATTGAGTTTACATGCCAAATTTAGGAGGGGGTGATCCTTTTTCCAACTCAGAGATTCTGTTTTTGAATTTTTTTTTTTGTTTCATGACGTGTTAGATCTGTCACTTGGATGTTATAAGTTGCACTGAGTAAATACTGCGTGTCTGTCTTTGTTTCAGGCTACAAAGCAACAAAATGTGATTATTTTAAAAGGCGGGTGATTCTTTTCTATACCCACTGTATATATGCATAATGTATGTCCCTAGATAGCTTGAAGGTGCTCTATGATTTTGGGCCCCTCTATGAATCTAGGCTGTGAGAAAAAGACTCACTCATGTGGTATCCCCATAGTCAGGAGGCATAGCAGAATGTCTTTTGGGATGTAACTATAGTTATGCCTATGATATGTGTGAAACATATCTTTTAAATTGACAACTTTGGACTGTCTACTTAAAAAAAAAAAAAAAAAAAGTAAATTTGGGGGGTATTTTTCCGGTCTTGGTATTTTAGGACCTCAAGAAAGGAGATCCATGGAACCCTGGTTGAGAATGTCTGCTTTAGAATATTGGGGAGCATGTGACCTCCTCACTGTGACAATGCTCAAGTCTAACAGGCCAGCCACCTAACCAAGGTAGTGAAGTCACCACACACCTGAATGTTGTCACTAGGGACATGAGTGGTGGGGAAGTGCCAGCAAAGTGAGCATCATGAGTTTTTTGCCACTTTATCCTGAATGGGCAAGGCGATAGCCTCTCTTTAATGGAAAAGTGCAACAGAATTAGCTTTAATTGGTTTACAAAATTAGAAAAGTCTGGAAAGCCAGGGAAAGAAAAAAAAACACTATTACAGTTACTAAAAAGATCAATATTTTTTTTCTTGAAATGTCATCACTTAAAATTACAGAACAGATGTACAATATGTTAAAGAGTAACTCCACTTTTGTTGAGAAAAAATATTCCCATCTGTGTGATCTATGTACATTGCAACTTTGTTGCAGATTCCTTTTGTTATTCTGAAGAAATTGCTGTATGTTTGTCTGTATCCACGTGCAGCGTGAACATGTATGGGAGTGGTTTTGTAATTATCATTCAGCTGCTGCACCTGCAGGGTCTGCATCACTTTAGACATGTTTCCCTTTGGGTGTATCTCACCAAAAATGACATTTTCATTGCAAGGGATGCTCAAAATCAAATTTGCATCTTAGTGCAGACTTCTGGGAAAATCAGTGAGCCAATCACACAAGCAGGAAATTACATACATGGGGCATGGGGGCTTTCTGTACCCCATCTGTGTACAGACCTCCTCCAGGTAGCCATGTTGCATAGCATTTTACAGAGAATTAAAGCACTGCAGAATGAAAAGGGAAGGTAATTTTTAATAACATTAAATTACAATATAACTTGTGTCACAATTGTATACACTATATTGTTTTTTTTATTTGCTATTTTTTTCCCATGAAAGTTGGGTTCAACTTTAATGTAAAAAAACTAAATTTCACTTCTGATTTTTGAAAATCATACATACATGGTTACAATGGTATCTGTGTACGGGGATTTTTTGCTTAGCTGCTTCAAAGTGGCTTGAGACATCCAACCATAAGGTTGAAATGGACTATATTCTAAAGATTTCACAGTTGGAAGATAAATCTGCTGATAGATGTCCAAAGTGCAACAGATTACAGTGCTGTGTAAACAGGCAAAAATGGACTTGTGCATCTTGCATTAGCTTCCCTCTAATCAAACATTTAGTCCTGTTACAGTTCTGTATAATTGACAGTTACAATAAAGTAGTTGAATATTCAGTTTCAAATTGTATGTAGCTGTAGTTTATAAACTATAAAAAAATAATTGTGGATTATTTGGTGACCATACCTGAACAGTAGCTTTTGGCATCCATGCTAAAGAAATAAATATCTTTTCCTTCATCTGAAATCCTGCCCAGGACACCATCAAGAATGTAAAGCATATCCGCACTATAATGCAATTCCAAGTGTGGCGACACACAATGCTAAAAAGAATTAAATGGAAAACAGTTAGTAGGCTTTTTTCAAGGAAAAAAAAAAAACACACACACACATTATATATATGTATATATGTTCCCTAGCTTGTCTGCTTGTACACCTTGATGAGGAGAAGCTGTTTTACTCTTACTGCAATGTAAGTTGTTGAATAAAGTCTGTCATTTATTTGAATCTACCATATGTAACTTGGATTTTCTTATGAGGAGAATGGAAGATATAATACTTTATTGGACCTAATATTGGATGGATTTCTACAGCTAAGGAGATCTATATCTAGCCCTGTCTGTGGTTATAGAGGGTAATTATCCATCTTACACAAGGAGTTGGAGATCACGGTTTTGGTTGGGGATGTGTGTTTGATCACTTATTGCAAGTGTGGTGTCACGAAGTTGCAGTGTCATAAGTGTCACAGACTCGCATAGTGGATGTGATTTGTATTTGTCACACTGGTCATAGATTTGGTGACACGGATACCTATATTAATAATATAGGCTGATATTCACATAGAGAGTTAATATATATATATATATTTTTTTTTTTTTTTTTTTTCTCCTCGTTTGCTTGAGTGTTTTCACAAGTAGTGCATGGTGCACTGTTAAGGGCACGTGTGTGTGTTTTGATTTCTAAAAAGGTATGACACTATGTTAAGTTTTTTCTTTTTGAGGTATATGGGCATCAGAATGTACGGGTGTTGAGAAAAAGGATTTTTTCGTGGAAAAGAAGAATAAAAGAGACTTTATTTGAACATTTGTTTATTGAATATTTGTTTATAAAAGTGGGGTGTGTTTTGAGATTTTGGACTTTAAGAAAAGTTTTTTATTATTAAATACAAAACATGTCATGTTTTAAAATTGCGCACGCACATGCAACAGGGACAAATGACTTAAATTTTATTATCCTCACATGTGTGGGACGATCGTTGTTTGCATGCGTGCGGGACCGATGCGTGGGTTTGCCTTTGCATGTGAGCAAGGGGGAACGGGGGTGCTTTAACATTTTTTTTAGTTAGTTTTTTTTCTTTTCATTTTTATACTGTTTTTTTAATATAAATATCCCCTCTGACAGCAATAGGCAATGACAGGTACTTTTTATGGAGAGGTCTGGGGTCTAATAGACTCCAAATCTCCTCTCGGCCCTTTAAAGCATCTGATCATGCCAAGATCAGATGTGTGTGATCAGATGCTCTCCCAATTTAAAAATGGCACTGTTTACATCCGGGGAAACTGGAAGTGAGGAATGCTCATCAATTCCGGTTTCCAATACCATAGAGGTGATCAGAGACATTCCAGTCATGGTAATAGGAACATCCCCTCCCATTGCTTGTAAAAGCAATCCAGCAGCGTATTAGATGCTAGGATTAATTGTACAAGAAATTTGACCATCGGTTCTAAAAAAACAATACCAGGATTATGCCTGCATTGTGGTGTAACCACTTGAAGTTCAGCGACATATGGGTATGTTGCTTGTCGTCAAGTGGTTGAATATATATATATTGCACAGATCACAGCTACGGCCATATATAAAAGTTATATTTAAAAGATATTTACTACTGTGACTTAGGGTGGTCATATACAAACTGATCTTTTGACAAGTATGACATGCATAGAGATATCTACCCATGCTTAAAACATTGATGTTTACACTGTAATCTAGTCTAACTGGCAACAGCACATGTGGAGATTCTATCCTCCTCTCAATGGGAGAAGGAAAGAGTGGCTAAATAATGTCCAAACATATGTGTGCTTGTGGTCTGCCTCCTAAGGTAGCCCTACAGGTCCCAATCCTTGCCCATGGCTTGCAAATAAGAGGAGGTATTAGTCGATCCAAGGACACCCTTTACAAAGTCCTTTGTTAAAGATGAAATATATGTATAACAGCTTAACATACATCTCTATACTAAAACTTTCTACTTGCCAACAGTCTCAGGTCTCAAGGAGGCAATTTGTATTTCAGATCCAATCAAGCTAAACAGCAGTGGTTGAAAAATATCCCATCCAACAGCTACTATGTCTTCAACTGCAGTCTATAAAAGAAAGAAAAGTTAGATACTGTCCAATAACATTTAAAAAATTCACAAGCGTTAGACCAATGGACAGTCATAAGGATCATTGAAATGCATTGTTGCTATGGCAGCCCCAATGAAAGCAAAAATTAAGCTAAGCTTACACCTGTAACCTTTTGTTAGTAAAGTGTCCTTTTCAGACTTTTGTTTGACTATCTAAGAGTTAAAGGTGTAAGGCCAGCATTAAAAAGAAAAATTAAAGTGGTATTAAACCCAAAAACAAAATGTGTCTGATGATCTGACAAGTAACACACTTTCTGTCTTAGTGTAGGTTCACACCTATGTGTTTTCCGCTGTGTTTTCAGCAGTCCATTTAACATGATTTTCAATGGGACAGGCTCACATCTCTGCGTTTTCCGGTGTGTTTTTTGGAAAGGGTCAGGGACTTTTTTTAAAACACAAAACGTTGCGGTTTTGGGTCTATAGACTTCAATGGAGATGCTGCAAAGTGCATGTAGAGTGTTTTTGATGCGTTTTTGCGTTAAATTATGCCCAGCAACAAGTTGCAAAAAAAGAAAAAAAACAAAACACATCAAAAACATGTCAAAACGCATGTGCAAAAACTCACAGCAAAAAGCACTGCAGAAATGGATCAGACGCAAACTGCATAGGTGTGAACCTAGCCTTAAATGGAATACAATAGCACAGCAGAGATGGATCTCCCATCCACATCAAATAAAGTTTGTACAAAAAAAAGGGGGAGCTATGTGATCAGCTGAAAAGCACGTCACGTGGTCCCTACCACCAGCTCACTGCAGCTGGAATGGACAGCTGCCACACACTAAACCACTGTGATTTAGTGTGCGGCATCTGGGCAGGGCTGTGTGAACCACCCCTTATTGACTGCTATGAGCAAAATGCATGGTAATGAAAACAATGCATGAGGTATGTTTACTTAAACCAAGTCGTGTTACTGTAAAGTATGATAAGGTTCAAGAAAGTCTCCAAGTAAAAGATCTGCTTCCAGCATGTATATCAAATATCCTGTCTCATATATTAAAAAGGAAGAAATCTTCTTTCAGTGTTTCCTATGAGTTCTGCATGAGAGTGCATTTTGCAGGTCTGAGAGATCATCTCTGACCAGCGTCTCGCAGTATAAAATCAGAAAAATCCTAAAAACTTTCACTTTCCCTATCACTGCTAGAATATTCAGGAATAAAAATACAGGTGAAATTGCCTCTTTAGGTACCCACCTCATATGGTTTACTCTGTATTGACCACACATAGGTAGCAACATTTTTTTAATCAGCTGCTTCTGTCCCCAGCACACTATATCCAGCAGAACCCACTTTCCACACTCCCATGTTGCATCTTTTTCCCCAGTGTCTATTCTAGCTTCTGGTGCAGCTCCTCCCCCTCTGTCTGCACTCTTCTTTCTAGCTCCCTATTCACAGTACACCTGTACCCCTCTTCTGCAAACTCTACGTTGCCACCTCTCTCTTGCACACATACTGCAAACTGTCACACCCGCCGCTCCCACACCTTTCCAGCACACAGCCCCCATTGTACCCGGTGACATACACTATATTTCCAAAAGTATTGGGAAGCCTGCCTTTACACACACATGAACTTTAATGGCATCCCAGTCTTAGTCTGTAGGGTTCAATATTGAGTTGGCCCACCCTTTGCAGCTATAACAGCTTCAACTCTTCTGGGAAGGCTGTCCACAAGGTCTAGGAGGGTGTATATGAGAATTTTCTTCCAGAAGAGCATTTTTGAGGTCAGGCACTGATGTTGGACGAGAAGGCCTGGCTCACAGTTTCCGCTCTTATTTATCCCAAAGGTGTTCTATTGGGTAGAGGTCTGGACTTTGTGCAGGCCAGTCAAGTTCCTCCACCCCAAACTCGCTCATCCATATCTTTATGGACCTTACTTTGTGCACTGGTGTGCAGTCATGTTGTAACAGGAACGGACCATCCCCAAACTGTTCCCACAAAGATGGGAGCATGAAATTGTCTAAAAATGTCTTAGTATTCTTACGCCTTAAGAGTTCCCTTTAATGGAACTAAAGGGCCAAGCCCAACCCCTGAAAAACAACCCCACACCATAATCCCCCGTCCACCAAACTTTACATTTGGCACAATGCAGTCAGGCAAGTACCATTCTCCTGGCAACCGCCAAACCCAGACACATCCATCAGATTGCAGAGAAGCGCGATTTGTTACTCCAGAGAACACGCCTCACCACTGCTCTAGAGTCCAGTGGTGGTGTGCTTTATACCACTGCCTCTGACGCTTTGTGATGTAAGGCTTGGATGCTCGGCCATGGAAACCCATTCCATAAAGCTTTCTACGCACTGTTGTTGTGCTAATCTGAAGGCCACACGAAGTTTGGAGGTCTTAAGCTACTGATTCTGCAGACAGTTGGTGACTTCTGCGCACACTTCTTCTCAGCATGCGCTAACCCCGCTCTGTCATTTTACATGGCCTACCACTTCGTGGCTGAGTTGCTGTTGTTCCCAGTTGCTTCCACTTTGTTATAATACCACTAAGAGTTGACTGTGGAATATTTAGTAGCAAGTACATTTCACAGATGTACATATTGCACAGGTGGCAGCCTATAACATTACCAAGCTTAAATTCACTGAGCTCTTGAGAGCGACCCATTCTTTCACAAATGTTTGTAGAAGCAGTCTGCATGCCTAGGTGTTTGATTTTATACACCTGTGGCTATGGAGGTGATGGGAACATCTGAATCCAATGATTTGGAGGGGTGTCCCAATACCTTTGGTAATATAGTGTACATCTACTGCACACTCTACCCCCCATTTTACCCTCTGAAACACCTGTCCCATATACACTTCCTGTCGTACCCTACAAAATACCTTTAATTTACTCTGTAACTAGAAACCTGAACACATTATTTCACTAGTATTTTGACACATCTGTAAATCTAAAGCATTTTTTTAAGCATTGTTCGTAATATTCCCACCTTGCTCATTCTGAAAGAGTCATAGATTTGCTACTGATCTGACATCATATTCTTTTCTAATACCTTTTCTCCAGACCATCTCATGCCTGCTAGAAAAGCCATCACCAGTGTACACAGTCCTCCTGACCCAGGAAAACCAAAGGACAGGCTGGCGAACACTGCAAATATGGAAAGTGCCAGAATGAGGTAAGATCTCTTCCATTTTAGTTTCTCCTGTAGAGAGTGAAAACACATACAGTTAATAGAGAACATAATGGAATTTGAAGCTTTTTGGTAATATTTATCTTGGGCACACTCCAAAGGTTGTTACTTTCGGGAAATTGGTTGTGAAGATCGCATAACCAGTCTGTCTGCTTAGGGTCCCTATGACAATTCTGCCTGTCCTCCCTCCATGTCATTACCAAGTATTTCTTGTTTTAAACTTTCAGCTTCAAATATGAAATGAGTATTTTGAAAGGGTTATGTTAAGGCTCACCTCTCCCGCACTTGCTAGACCAGCCTTTTTCATCCAGGGTGCCCAGGCACCCTTGGGTACCTGTAGGTTTCCTTAGGGGTGCCTTGGCAAAATGCCTAAAAATTGCCAAAAACTGCATAAAAACCAGTAGGTGAATCAAGCATGCCTTTTAGTTACACAAAGCCACAGATTTTCATGTGCACCATTACAACTTTTGAACTGCTGGAGACATGACAACTAATGATGTCATCAGCTGATAAGAAAGAAATCAAGCACCTGCACAGCATCCTTGCTTGCCCCTCACTGTCAGCACAGGGGTCACATTTGCTGAGTCAGAAAGAGAAACTGAGGGAGAAGAGAAACATTGGAATATTAGTCAGTGTATTTGATTTGGAAGAATAAATCACCTCTAACTTTGGGTGTTCTACATGTACATCTACATGTTGCTGCGTTCTGTAAAACCATTTTTTTTTTTTTTTTTACATTTTTGTAATGGGTGCCTCAAGATTGTGCAGAATTTTTTTCCCGAATGTTGGAGGTGTTGAAGGGAGTGTGTCAGACATCTGCAGAGAGACCCTAGCTTCCAGATATTTCTACTACATTGTGATTGCTTTCTAAATCAAATTAATTGTTAAATTTTTCACACCTGCTCAACTAGGCTAATAGACATAAAAACACACACAGTATATACAGTATGTAGTGAATAACTCTTTAAGTAAACATATTTTGTGTGCTGGATGTGTGAGCCACAGACAAATAGAGAACTCTAAAAACATCGAAGTATGCAATGTTTTTTAACCACTTGAAGACTGGCATGTTAAACCCCCTTCCATTTTTCAGTTTTCAGGACTGTGATACTTTCACAATTACTCAATCATGCAACACTGTACCCAAATGAGTTTTATATCTTTTTTTGAGACATAGTCATTTTTGGTTATATTTAATCACCCAAAAAAACAAAAATGATTTTTTTTTAGTTCCTGCTGAAAAGGTTTGCAGATAAATCTCTCTTTCTGTAGGTCAAAATGTATACTGCTACATGTGTTTGGTAAAATAAAACCACAGCTATCAATTATAAATAAGGTGTTTCTCACACATAGCATGGGCATACGTATAAATACACCCCCAAACACACTCTGCTATTTCTTCCAAGTAAGGGGATATCACATACATGAAACATTTTTGCAGCCCAGCTGCATAGACGGGCCCAAAATACAAGGAGTACCGTCAGACTTTGAAGGGGCATAAATTAGACATGCATAGGGCAGCCCATTCATTTTAATGGATTGCCCTACATCCGACAAATGTGCCAAAGAAGCTACTGCACTTTTTTTTTTTATGTAGGGCTTGTCCAATTTTTGCTGTACGCAAAAAATGTGCATGTATTGGCAGCGGTTGGGGTGGCATTAACTATTAATGGTGCTGCAAGCATTTAACTCGCAGATGTGAGCAGAGCCTTAATCTCCAGTTCCAGAGTGTTTTTTTAGTTTCGGTGATATCTTGATTAGGCACATACCTTTAAGCATTTGTAGTCTACACCAGAATCCGTACGTTTGTATATAGATAGGGCTTTAAGTTGATTTTTATTTGAAAAAAAAACAATGTAAAAAGTTCTTCTTATAATTTTTCCCACTGCAATATTTACGTAATTTTCACATCACCATATATTTACCACAAAGAATAAATTGTGAGCGCATGACAAAAAAGGAAAAAGTAAAGCAGCTAGCACAACGTGGCAAATCCTCTGTCTCCACCAAAACAAAAACACTATAATATGAATGTGCAGCGCTAATACAAATGTGTGTTATAATCAATGATGACCAGTGTAATAGTAAAAGAGAAAGGAAACATCATAAAAAAGAAACGAGAATAGTGAATAGTCCACTGAAGAAACAAAATGGACAGTATAACAAAATGAAAATATATAAGTCCTCTAAATATCATAATAGTCCCAAAAATAGTGATGTGATCAAATCAACAAAATGTAGTGACTTCTGTGACTGCCGCACTGCACCTCCACCATAATGCACTCACCAGAAGTAAGTAGCAAGCAAGCCCAGAGCAGAATGACACTAAGGGTTGTTCCTGCTTGTTCCTCCTGCCGGTGACCCTGTTGAAGGTGGGATCTCTCCAGAAGCCAGTGATACACCAAATGAACAATCAAAAGTTGAGTAGTCAAGTCTCCATCTCCAGCCCACAGTGAACCAAGCAAAGGGATTCCTCACATAGGGCAAGCTCATAGACCGAGCCCGGAGACAGTATCATATAGTGTAGTATGTTTTATTAAAAAGATAGCAACCATGTGGAACATAAAATCATCAATGGATAAAAAGCACTTACAAAGATGGCCACCATACCATCATGTGGACGCGGTGGCATGACGACAGCACGTAGGCTGCTCCCTATAGTGACTCGTACGCGTCCTACCCGCGCCACCATTCGCAGCCGCAGCTGTTAGTCACCGGTTCCCGGCCGGTAATTACTCACCAGCACCCAGTGATTTCCGTTTACTAACAGTCCTCCTCACTGTCAGCTTGGGCACACTGCTCTGGATGGCTGTGCACAGCACAGCCATCCAGAGCAGTGTGCTTACAGTAAAGCACCAACACACCGCCCCCTAGTAAAACACTCCCTGCACATAGTTAACTCTTTGATCACCCCTCATGTTAACCCTTCCTGCCCAGTGCCATTAGTACAACGTCAGTGCTTTTTTCGTAGCACTGATCACTGTATTGGTGTCACTGAGGATGTCAGTGACACCAAGTCAGTTCCCCCCAAGTCAGAATGTCCGCCACAGTCCCACTATAAGTCCTGAATTGTTGGTTTATAATATAATGTAAAATTCTAGATATATTTGTTACACACAGCATACAGCTGTTTCAGGATTGTTGGCCATAATCTGTACAGGGTATGGAAATCATGGCTTCTATGGAGTAGGGCTTACGAACCAGCAAGAGGGTACAACCATACAGATTAAACTGAGATACAGTTTGCTCAGGGACATAAAGAATCATATGCATACACTACCCATATTAAAAATCCTATTTTTTTAGTTGTACATTACATAAACACAGAATCTTAGTCTTGGATGACTGGGGATGTGCAAAAGCAATACAATTGAGGGGTGGGCAACACAACAACAAATGCTAAAACAAACAGACAAACAGACAGGACTCAAAAACTAAGAGCAGCCTGAAGAACCTTACGGTCAAAAATAGCAATTGAAAAGGCCTGAACATCAACTTGGTAAAACATAAACATACGAACTGAAGATCAGGTGCCAGTAATGTTGTATTTAGGTTTTGTGCTGCCCTAGGCAACGCATAAATCGGCCCCCCCCCCCCCCCCTAGACAGAGCCTGATGCCAATGAACAACCCCCCCCCATACACACAGAGAAATTCTGACATTCACCAACAACACCCCTGCCCCCCACCTGAGAGAGCCTTCTACTACCACCCCCCATACAATGGCCACTAACCCTCCCCACCAAGTGGAGATAGAAAGAAAGACACTGATCTGCACAGCTCCAGACATCCCTGGGAACGAGAGTCGGGGCTCTGCATACACCATCACACAGCCTGCAGCCTCTCTCGCATCCCACCTGGTTCCCATGCCACATGTGTTCCCTCTTCCGGGTGCAGTGCTGCCCCCCTGAAAAATGCTGCCCTAGGCAAATGCCTTGTGGCAAATACGCCCCTGGGTGCCAGCCTTGCAAATATAGGAAACAGATGCTGGATGTTGAAAAGCTCATGAAGCACTGACAGATCTAGTAAAGTGTGCCTTAACAGGAAAAAGAGGAACCTTAATACTGTACGCACAGATGATGACCTGTCTAGCCCACCTGGCAATGGTGGAATAGGAGGCAAAATCTTTTACCTACAAGGACCCTCTGGAATGACAAAGAAAATCAAATTGTCTACAAGAAGCCAACGCTGAGAGGTAAACACTGCAAACCACATCCAAACAGCAGAGGGAAATCACCCTTGAAGAAATAAGGTGGGCAGCACAATGTCCTGGCTAAGACAGAAGGAGGAAATCACCATGGAAAGAAACAAGGCTTACTGTGGTTTGAACCGCATCCAATTCTCATGACATGTGAAAAAAAAACATTGCTTCCTATGGTGCCTGTCCAGTACACTGGTGGTGCAGATTTAGTGAGGATTGAAAAAAAGAGTCATGTATGATTTCTGAGCAGTGCGGTCCGGTTCTGGTGCAGATTGAAGACTATTGGCTTCTATGGGAACCATTTCTAAACCGCATATGTGTGAACAGGAAAAAATCCTGAGCTAATTCTGTCCTGAGCCTGATGTAAACCTGACATGAACCGCTGAACAACTATTCTATCAATTAGCTGTGAAACCTGAGCTTCAATCCGCACCGTGCGTGTGAATCGGCTCTTAGCTTACAAGACAACCTTCTCCCTGTGTAATACTAGCAGGGGTTCCCTGTTAACTTTGAAACATTTCATCTAGAGATGACAGTCACAAGAAAGGCAACCTTGTGAGTAAGGGAAGACAGTGAGATACCCCTGACAAGTTTCAAGGGAGGTTTCTGATAAAACTGAAAAGAACTGATAAACTCAAGTAGAGGTCCCTCTTAATTTCTAGGGAAAGTATGGGGGAACAATGTGAGCAACAGCCTGCACAAAGCCTTTCATCAGTGAGTGAGAGGTAAGTGGTAAGAAGGGAGGTTGTGACAGTACAGCCAGAGTGATGAACCAATATGTCGCTCTCCCTGTACATACTGTTCACAGTACAAGTACTGTGGGTGGCCAGCAAGCAGTTAATAAAAGAAATGAACTAGTAAGGCCCCAATAGTAAGGATGGCAAGAATAGAACTTAGAAAAGTATAATAAAACCGGTGACACTTTAAAAATATAAACTTAGTGTATGTTGAAAGTTAGCTGGAGTAATTGATCACCCCAAGTCTGATGCAGGAGTTTATCATGAAGGCAAAACTGGTACTACAGACTGACTTGTTCAACTAGTTTCAGGTCTGGCTGGTCTCAATTCTGGTCTGCCTGTCTAATCAGAGTTTTGGCTCAACTGGCTGGAATGAGTTCTGGCCAGGTTAAGAAGTATGTAGAGCAAAATACAGGGATCAATAGTATGGAGGGCAGTGAACAGGAGTAGGCAGTTTGTAGGGCAGAGTATAAAATAAAGCCATTTAGTAGGGCAAATTACAGCAGTTAGCAGTTTGTAGGGCACAATGAGATTTCCTCCCCATATGCAGAGAGGTAGTGACAAATTGCTGCTTGTTCTGGCACATTGATCCCTACCAGCCTTTTCTTTCTCATCCATCCTATGTGATGTCACAAACAAGCTCCTGGAATGTACAGGAGAAAATGGCCAGTGGGATCAGCACAGGGGCACATAGCTAAGTTACATGCCTGCACAACTCTGTATATGGGGAGAGAAGCACTTCAGACATAGGGTCAGCAAGTAAGGGGTGTGGTCTACCCATCACCTGCCTGTAATTGACAGGTAGATCATGATTGACCTTGCTGACCTCCAGCCAGGGCCAGTACTTCCACTAGGCAAACTAGGCAGTCGACTAGGACGCACTGCCACCTAGGGGAGTCTGGATGCAGCACAGGCCAGCACTCACTGTGTGGCCTATAGACCTTTTGTATGAATTCTTCATTTCTCTGCAGAGTCCCCCTCTCCTCATATGCAGGGAATGATGAGGGAATGAAGGTATTTTTACTCTGCACAATTGTCTCACAGCCTGTCCACATGCATGACACCATCTAGTACTAATATATATATATATATATATATATATAGAGGTTCATATATATATATATATATATACACACATACATATATACACACACACACACACACATACACACAGTATTCCATGTAGCAGTGAAGTGTCGGCTCCCCAAAGGATGGGAAGTAATGACATTAGGCCCTGGGCAGTCAGCAGTCTCAGAGGATGGGTCAGCTGTAACAGGGAGCCAGCTAGTGACCGAATGGGGTGTGTGATTTCCAGCACTGGCTCTGCCTTCTTCTACACAGCTGGAGCCAATCAATAGGAAGGGGGTGTGCTCTGGTTGCAGGTTTAACCCTATGTGAGTAGGATGATTGGGGCCCAATGTGTGTACTGCTGGGAGGCAGCCTGTCTTTTTTTGTCAAAACAAAATATTTGCTATAACGCTCTATGAAGAACAGCCAGAAATGCAAATGGCCATTTTATATACAAAAAAAAAGGTACCATGAATTCTCTACAGGAGATAAAAAAACGTGTCTACATACTTCAAGAAGTTGTTACCTGGTCATTTTTGCCTTGGAAAATAATGAAGGAGGCCTTTGCCATGAAGAAAAAAAAACCCGTTTAAAACTAAGAAGTCCAGCTGCAATTCCAACTGCAACTTCCAACACATACACCTCAGTGAAGTGATGATGCTATTAAGGCCTTCTTATTACACAGCTGGAGCCAATCTAGGAAGGGGGTGTGCTCTTGGTTGCAGGTTTAAATGTGAGTAGGGATGATTGGGTAGGGCTTGTCAACCTTGCTATCTGACGAGCCACGAAATTGCTGGCCATTTTATCTACAAAATAACAATCCTACATACTTTCAAGTAATACCTGGTGCTGTTGAAGTCAGGCAATTCCATACTGCAACTTCCAACACTCCTCTGGTGTAGAGCCTACACAAAAAAAATAAAAAAGGTATTCATACATTTATTTTTCATTAAACCACTTTTCTTTAGGTAAAGTCCATACTGAATACAACATTGTTACACAATCCTTTTTTCTTATTTAGTGTTCGTAAACTAAAACTTTCGGGTTCAGCCAGCTAGGGCTTTCTAGTGCTCTGTGCCCAGTTTGGTGTACAAAACGTTTACTAGAAATTTCCGACTCAAGTGATTGGCTCACTGCTGTTCCTAGCAGTTCTCTTATTCATATAATACTGGGACTGATCATGTAACTGCAGCAGAAAGACTACACCACTCACTGGGAGGAAGCAGCTGCAGAAATTAAGGGAATTGAAGTGTGAGCTCTAATGCAAATGGCTGCAGTGAAGTTTCTGTTTACAGTATAGCTAATAAATAATCTTTATGGTTTCTTTTAGTCCTCATGCACACTTGATGTTTTTACAGCTGCTGTTTTTTTGGCTTTTGATGTTTTTTTTTTTTACAGCTAGTAAACCCCCCAGCATGTTATCCTATGTATCCATGCGCACATAGACTGTAATCAACTTTTTTTTTTTTTTTTTAAACAAAAGGACTTGTCAAAAACTGTTGTTTTGTTTTTTTGTTCAATAAAGGAATTTTTCAAAAGACTAGTCTTTTTATTTTTTTACTCAATTTAACCCTTTAGTGAATGGGTAGGGGTACAAGTAGGCGTGGGCTGAGGCCATTTTTGAGGAAGTGAGAGGATCCATGGTTGTTTTAAAGCACTTGTCATTTTAATATACAATGTAACTGTGATTTTAATAAATATTGTTTTTTCACTGACTCCCTGCACTATATGAGGCATTCTTTCATTTGGGTGAGGTGCTGGCATCTGAGGGAATGAAGGATCTCCATTATTGCCTATTATTATCCATTATATGCCTCTAGTGGCTAAATAAGATATTGTGATGTCCGGATTTATGGAAATGTCTTATTAAATACATGCCAAGTGTTACATGCCTTGGAGGTGACTGGTATCTGCTGAGACAAAGGATTTTACTACCATCTTAAAAGTATCCATATGGACATATGGGAGGAGGAAAGGATAAAGGAGATCGCGCTAGGTCTCGATGTGTGGAGATGTCACATTATTAAAAAATGCAGTTTTTACATGCGTTGGAGGTGTGAGAGTTGTGCGAGCATGGAGTGGCACTGTTATTAGCATGAAAATTCCCATTCACCACGGAATCGTAGTCATGGTGTTGGATCATGCAATATTTGGAAACTTATGAACTCATTTATTGAAAGCACTTTAGTATCTTTATTCACATTATTCATTAATTTATATTTATGGTCTATGTTCTTGGTCATTTATTTACATTATGATTATGAGCACAGTTTATTCATCTGTATTGCTTATTAATACTGATTGATGTCCATTAGCAGCGCTACATCACCTTTAATTAAAATTTAATTTTTTTTTGTTCAATAAAGGAATTTTTCAAAAGACTATTATCTTTATTTTTTTTACCTAATTTAACCCTTTAGTGAATGGGTAGGGGTACAAGTACCCCTTACTCATTCACAAGGGGGGGGGGGCCGCATCAAGGTTCCCCCTTATTTAAAGAGGTACCCTAATGTGAATGAGCTTCCCTGGACCAGGGTTGTGGGGAAGAGGCCCTTGTCACTGTCCCAATGCCATGGGCTGTTACCATGTCAGTGCACTCTCTCTTTGCAGGAGGCTATTATTGCCCAACACCCAGTGATGCTAGTTCCTATTTTGCATCATGTCACCATTTCCAGGAACCCTTTAATGTCCCATTTCCAGGAGCCCTTCAATGTCCCATTTCCAGTGTTGGATGGCAAATCTGGCTGTGACAAGTGGTAGCTATGCCTAATTTTCCTTTTCAGCATTTTGAGGGCAACCATACTGTTTGCTCTGATATATTTTTTTTTTACCAAAAGCAGTAGGTTTACGTATATACACAGAACTGAAAGTCGTAGAATGTTCCAATACATGCAGTAGAGGAAGAAAGTTAACAGTATAAGCACTAGGATTAATGATTCTGTGGTGCCAATAGAGACAAGTAAAAAACATATACCTGATGAAAACGCCATTCCGAAACATGTATTGAAGCCAGTTATAGCCAGAATGTCATCAAAGCTTCCAGCAGCCATCAACAGTGTTGGGATACCCTTATCTACTCCATAGCCTTCTTTCTGAAGAAGCAGCATAGAGGGAACTACAACAGCAGGAGACACTGCACCCAGAACAAAGCTAGTCAGAGGAAACATCAGAAAATTTATGTTTAGTCAGGGATTCCTGGACGTTCCAGAGCAATATTGGAAAATACAGACACAGTGTAAAGTGCATGTAAACCCTTACTGAAGGACATTTACTTTTCTAAAGCACTGTGTATCATAAACACACACTTCATAAACCGCTGCAAGTCATTCCTCAGAATGGGCTTCCTAATGGTGACAACAGGATCATACCTGTGCAATGTGCATCAGCATGGCCACTTACAGTCTCCATCAGGACAGCCTGTGATGGTGTGGCAACACAGAAGCACAACTGGGAGACAAGAAGAGAGTCTTATAAATACAATGTGAATGTGATATCAGATCAAAAACCCCTTAAACCTACACTAATTCCAAATTGGAAAAAAAACTTTCAACCCCTGAAAGTTTAAAATCAAATAAATTAGTCCAAAAGAGAATCTTCCCTCTTTTAACAAATAATCTACCTATATGTACAACAACAAAAAAATTTCCCCATATAGTTCTATACGTGAACTAACAGAAAATCATAAAGTCCAGTGTTCCAATGATCAAAACTAAATCATAAAAGTCCAGTGTCTCAATAGTCAAAATAGTAGAACCAAAAAAGAGGATGTGTATCTTGCAGCGTTGATTGTGTTCAGTGATTTATGTGAAAAACCTCAAAGATAAAGAAACTCACAATAGTGCATTACCATAATATAATCAAGAAGAGAGAGAGAGAAAGAAAAAAAAAAATATATATATACGCTTACATGCACACACACAAATGTGTATCATAAAGTTGTGCAACACTAAGTGATAGTGAAACACTTGTGAAAACCTTCCAAACAAATAGTAAAATACTCTTGCTCAAAAATTCTGAAATCCTGAAGTGAAACACTCAGTGAAACTCCTATCCACACGTGACACTTCTAGTGAGTAAGGCAAATGTACCCTTACCAACAGTAGAGAAAAACCACGCCTTTATAGTATAAATTAGTAGAAATCCTCCAAAGGAACTTTCTCCTCCTCTCCTCCTTCACTTATTGTTAGGGTGATGTTATAATGCCATCCACTTTCCCAGGTCTATAGTCATGGGTTTACCAGGCTCCAGTATAATAGAAATTAGCCATGATGTACCTCCATGTATTCAGAATAATAACATTTTAATAAGTCTGCTTACATTAAAATATGCGATTGAGACAAAACCCCACTTTCTGGGGATTACCAGGCAGTTCCCACAGTTTTCCAGGCAGTTCATACACGGGTATCCAGCGATTCCCCAACAAAGATGGCCGCTGTAACACTTCCGGTTTTCCTGTTTTTTTGCGTATGACGTCACTTCCTCTTGACGCGTTTCGTCACATCGGGACTTAATCATAAGAGAGAGAGAGACGTCCTGACACCTGGCCACAATAAATACCACTCCTCAATTGACTGACGATACTCCGATCGCCATATTGGAACAGGGAAAACATCGCCCTTACTAAACCGCACAGCCGACTAGCAGGAAGTACACTCCCTATGCAATCCAAAATTAGGAGCATACCCAGTGGGACCGCATTCGATATAGCAGCTATATCTTAATAGTCCAAGATACAGAAATTACATTTTAACTAACCATGATATCACATTGAATTAAAACATTAATAAAAACATTAATAAAAAACATTATTTTATTTAATATCCCCTACTTTATATATATCCTGGTACCCATCTCATATACTAAACTATATTTGAACTGGTGTCTACACTTAGCACCCCCTACTGGTCATAATAAATATTATTACCATCTCATCTAAAATATAAATATCCTCATAGATTGCACATAGAGATATAATTCATTATAAATATAAATTAATTTTGTTTTAACCTAAAAAGCTAGGAGAATATCGATTTTAAAATATTTATAAAATTAACTTAAAACTAAGATGAAGCAAGACATTTATTATTATTTACAAATTAGAAATAAAACAATTAAGATCTAAATCCACATTTAATCCTCTAGGTCTAAGAGTTCTTAATTGGAATATCCAGAATGTTTCATTTTGTGATAAAATTTTAATTTTATCACTACCTCTCCAGTGAGCTTCTATAGAATCAATCCCACAGAATTTCAGGGTCCCCGGATCACAATTGTGGATATCCCTGAAATGTCTGGAGAGACAGTGGAAAGACCACTGTCTCTTCAGACATTTCAGGGATATCCACAATTGTGATCCGGGGACCCTGAAATTCTGTGGGATTGATTCTATAGAATCTCACTGGAGAGGTAGTGATAAAATTAAAATTTTATCACAAAATGAAACATTCTGGATATTCCAATTAAGAACTCTTAGACCTAGAGGATTAAATGTGGATTTAGATCTTAATTGTTTTATTTCTAATTTGTAAATAATAATAAATGTCTTGCTTCATCTTAGTTTTAAGTTAATTTTATAAATATTTTAAAATCGATATTCTCCTAGCTTTTTAGGTTAAAACAAAATTAATTTATATTTATAATGAATTATATCTCTATGTGCAATCTATGAGGATATTTATATTTTAGATGAGATGGTAATATTTATTATGACCAGTAGGGGGTGCTAAGTGTAGACACCAGTTCAAATATAGTTTAGTATATGATATGGGTACCAGGATATATATAAAGTAGGGGATATTAAATAAAATAATGTTTTTTATTAATGTTTTTATTAATGTTTTAATTCAATGTGAAATCATGGTTAGTTAAAATGTAATTTCTGTATCTTGGACTATTAAGATATAGCTGCTATATCGAATGCGGTCCCACTGGGTATGCTCCTAATTTTGGATTGCATAGGGAGTGTACTTCCTGCTAGTCGGCTGTGCGGTTTAGTAAGGGCGATGTTTCCCTGTTCCAATATGGCGATCGGAGTATCGTCAGTCAATTGAGGAGTGGTATTTATTGTGGCCAGGTGTCAGGACGTCTCTCTCTCTTATGATTAAGTCCCGGATGTGACGAAACGCGTCAAGAGGAAGTGACGTCATACGCAAAAAACAGGAACCGGAAGTGTTACAGCGGCCATCTTTGTTGGGGAATCGCTGGATACCCGTGTATGAACTGCCTGGAAAACTGTGGGAACTGCCTGGTAATCCCCAGAAAGTGGGGTTTTGTCTCAATCGCATATTTTAATGTAAGCAGACTTATTAAAATGTTATTATTCTGAATACATGGAGGTACATCATGGCTAATTTCTATTATACTGGAGCCTGGTAAACCCATGACTATAGACCTGGGAAAGTGGATGGCATTATAACATCACCCTAACAATAAGTGAAGGAGGAGAGGAGGAGAAAGTTCCTTTGGAGGATTTCTACTAATTATACTATAAAGGCGTGTTTTTTCTCTACTGTTGGTAAGGGTACATTTGCCTTACTCACTAGAAGTGTCACGTGTGGATAGGAGTTTCACTGAGTGTTTCACTTCAGGATTTCAGAATTTTTGAGCACGAGTATTTTACTATTTGTTTGGAAGGTTTTCACAAGTGTTTCACTATCACTTAGTGTTGCACAACTTTATGATACACATTTGTGTGTGCATGTAAGCGTATATATATATATATATTTTTTTTTTTTTTTTTTTCTCTCTCTCTCTTCTTGATTATATTATGGTAATGCACTATTGTGAGTTTCTTTATCTTTGAGGTTTTTCACATAAATCAGTGAACACAATCAACGCTGCAAGATACACATCCTCTTTTTTGGTTCTACTATTTTGACTATCGAGACACTGGACTTTTATGATTTAGTTTTGATCATTGGGACACTGGACTTTATGATTTTCTGTTAGTTCACGTATAGAACTATATGGGGAGATTTTTGTTGTTGTACATATAGGTAGATTATTTGTTAAAAGAGGGAAGATTCTCTTTTGGACTAATTTATTTGAAGAAGAGAGTCTTGTCACCCTATAACAAATTGCTGGAATAAAAACCTTCATGATAGGAACACCAGGTGTTCTTTCAATAACAATTGCTGATTTAAAATTATTGTAAAATTACTTTTGACGTTACTTTAACATTGTAATGCTTATATAGGATTTAGCTATTAGGTTTATATATACACTTTAAATTCAACAATTACAGAATTTTGTAAAGCTTACAATTAGCTAAAATATATGTTTGTAAAGCTTACAGCTTTAGCTTATTGCTTACCAGTTTTACCAGAGAAATCTTCACTGCACTGATGACAGGTCACAACAGTGATGACAGGTCACAGCACTGATGACAGGTCACAACAGTGATGACAGGTCACAGCACTGATGACAGGTCACAACAGTGATGACAGGTCACAGCACTGATGACAGGTCACTGCAGAGTCCAGGCTCTGAACTCAGGGGGTTAATAGTGTCTGACTCTGGCCTAGCAGCTGTGAAAAAAGCTCCTGAATCTTCCTCCACTGACTAAAGTCCTTTCATTGCTTTCACTGCCTGTAACAGAATCAGCAAATGGGAGAGAGGATCCTGTAACTCCCTCTCATTTACAGATTGTGTAACAAGCAGTGAAAAAAACTTTACTCAATGGAAGAAGGGGTGGGTCCTCATCAAAACGTCCTTCTCAGCCCAAAGTTGTTAGCTTCCTGCATGTAGGAAGTTCAGCAATGACAAGAGGTCCTTTCATCACCACAGTAAAGATTTCTACAGGATCCAGCTGCCTGCACAACCTGGGGCATCCTTCATTACTGGTAAATAATGTGACTAAAGCTATAGAGCTAAATATAATTTTTTTCAGCTAAACTTCAGCTTTCAAGTGTTTTTCTATAAAGTTGGGAAATAACCCATGCCAAACTATCAAATACATTATCTAAATATACTAGATGGAATTGGCCTGACATGGGCAAACTCTTCACTTTAAAATGGACCTAAACTAGTGAACATTTTCTATCTTATACGAGGTGCTGTAAAATAGTTTCAAGACTAGTTTTGTAACACGCCAGGAGAGTGCAGCACAAGGCTGCATGCACAGTCACAGGGAGCACCAACCTTCATAAGTCAGTGTGCCAAAAGATATCGTCCTGTGTACATCGGGAGCTGTGCAACTGGTGCTATTCTAACCAGGTGTGTTACCTCGTCTGCTATTTCATCATGGACAGCAAGTTAGAACAAAGAGCAAACATGAAATTCTGCGTGAAGCCCATACACCCAAGTTTCGTCACCGTTGATCACCAACATGAAGTAAGGGTCATCCACGGCACACTGACAGAGTTCTTCGCAGACTTTAACATGGTAGAAAACTTCTAGAGATGTTTACTGCCTAAGAAGTACCCTAAAAAAAAAAATCTGCATTTAAATACATTTTCTATTGCAAAAATAGCAATGCACTACCTGGCATGCAAGTAAATCTGGGCACTCCTTTGCCTACAGCCTCATTGCTGCATAAGCATAGTATGAGATCATCTAAGGCACTGGTGCCTCCCAAGTTACAGAAGTTCGATTTGAAGATGTCACTACTGTGCTGCTCACTGTTCTCCTTGCTAAAAGGGAAAGTTACAGTGCTAGGATCTTCCTGCATCTGCTTCATTCATTCAGTGAATTTGAGCTTTCTGAACCTTTCCTGTTTCTTGACTACATCTCCATCAGTCGTTTAGGGGACAGCGCTGAAATGAGGAGGCAAAGCCTTGCCCCGCTACAGAGAATTCTGCTTCCACACAGAGACACAGAGCAAAACAAGGCATGGTAAGTCAGTATTGGAAAAAGTTCAACCACAGGGAGCCTACTGGAAATATTTGTTACCAGTCCTTTGTCCTCTGCTTGCCTAATTTGAGCACAACCACAGTTCAGGTTCACTTTAATATCATGCAGTAATAAAGCATACCACATTTTCTTTGCAGGCTATATGTAGGTTCTCTTCACAGCAGAGGTGTACTATTTGTTAGAATAGTACCTGCTAAGCTTTGTAAAAGAAAAAAAAAATAGCTGTCCATCTCAAACCTAAACAGCAAAATAATTTGAGTCTGACAAAATGGTTCAATGGTCTGCAGTCTGTCTTGTTAAAGGTGACAAAGGAAGGAAACAGAGAAGGAAGTACAGAAACTGCCACTGTAGACCTTCCTGCATGAAAATACTAGACTCCTGGTAATTGTGGTGATCCGATGGCTTGAGTGCTTTCTAAGTCACTGACCTGGGACAAGTATGCAGATTAGGAGCTCTGACTTCCATCATGATCTGGTATTGAAGCCAGAGACATCCAGACAGGCAATCAGTATTTTCAGAAAGACGACAATAACAGCAGCTTTCAAATTCAACTCGGCTTCCTTCAAGAGGTCAGATCTCTGTATGAGAATCCTCATTGTTCTTACAAAAAGGGTAAGTTATGTACCCCTCCAAATCCAACAATTCATTATGCAATGTATAAGAAAAAAAATGTATTACCCTAGCATAAATCCCCATGTTAAAGGGTAGTCCCATCAGAAAGTGAGATAAAAGAGCAGCGGAGCAAGACTCAATCGCACAGGGACCAAGAGAAAGCCGTAAACACACTGCCTTGAGTTTCCTTAGAGCCTGAATGCAAATAACATTTTTAAAATAAATTAAAAACAATCTAAATCCAGTTTGTCAACTGACATGTCAAAACAATTATAAACAGACAGTATGAGAGAGCAGAATGAGTCTTACGGCGGTGTCTACTGCCTTGCCAGTTCTGCCTCTCAAACTGAGCATGTAGTGTTGAAATTAATTTGGCAAGTCTAGCATGCAGTATTGAATTTGCCACACCCCAGTAATGTGTACCTATTCAAGGGCCACCCTGTCGTTTGCTCGTAGGTGGAATAAATCGGCTCTTTTTACTGCCCCCCAGCCACAAGTGTGAAAGAAGTCTTAATTAATTATCAGGGTGTGCGTTCTGCTTTATTCTCTAATCAGCAAGCTGTGGGCAGAAAGGTGGCACCACTGTTTTACTAAAATGAATGTATAGCCAAAAATTATTTTTTTAGTCTTAGAAGAATTGTAGAAGAATCAGAACTTATGTCAGCTTATTTTGCTTTCTGTGTCCCTGCTTGGGAAGATTCACCCCTCTTTTTGTCCCAGAAAACTATTGTCACAGGAACAGAAAGCGAAGGGAAATCCAAAATTTTACAGCTGTCACTCGAACGAAATGTGAGGATAAAATCATGGGCACTTGACAATTGTCCAACAGGATATTATTTTCTCTGTTATATCTTCAGGAAGGGCAAGTAGTTAAGGGATGTCTCCCCAAGAGGAGAAAAACCCGTCAAACTTAAAGCGGAGTTCCACTCAAAAGCATAAGCTCTGCTTATTTGCCTCCTCCCCCCCCTCTACTGATAAATTTGGCACCATTTGGGGGGGAGGGGGGAGCGGATACCTGTTTTTGACAGGTACTCACTTGTGGAAGATCAGCCTCCTCCTCCCTCCCACAGTCTCCTGGGAACTTTCATAGGTCCCAGGAGACTGCTGGACCAATCAGGAGGCACAGCACGACTTGCGCATGCGCAGTGGGCACTAGGCTGTAAAGCCACAAGCTGCTACAGCCTGGTGCCCACAGTTGGGATGCCAGCACCATGGTGGGAGAGAACATCGCTGGACCCTGGGACAGGTAAGTGTGTGTATATTATTAAAAGTCAGCAGCTATAGTTTTTTTAGCTGCTGACTTTTAATAAACACAAAAATGTCTGGAACTCCATTTTAAAGGATAAGTTCTCCTTTTGTAACATACTACAGCCGTACTCAGGGTATAATGTGTAACATGTTACGAACGGACCAACCCCCCCTTCTCCCTGCTCCCCTCTGTAAGAGCTAGTGGGGGATCCCCCCCCCCCCCCCCCGTAGTTCTCACAATTAAAAAAAAAAAAAAAAAAAAAAAAAAAAACGCTTCCGTGCAGGGTTCTGACCGACTGACTGCGTCACTTATTCACAGACTTGGCAGCGGTCAACTTGTAGTCCTCAATGATGAACTACCACAGTGCTGTGGAGTGCCATGGTAGTTCATTGAGTCTTCCTGTCAGTATCTGCCCACCCGTATGGGATGTACAGGCACACAAATACATTGGCAGGTCTGCAGGGGACCTGCATGGCACCAGTAATCTACTGATCGCTGGTGCAATGCTTTAGAGGCCCACGGAAAAAAAAAAAAAATTAAATGCATATTTTTTTACCTGCAAAAATGTGCACTTATTATTTTTTGTTAAAAGGTGAACTTTTCCTTTCATGTTTTGTCTATACATATGGTAAGGGGGACAGTGGTTGGACAACACTAGAAATCCTTTAACAAATATGACAGTTCATATACTATGTGTCATTCAACTGTATATTTAGCTGACTTTTGGTGTTTTAACAAGCTATTGAAAATAACCAAATCTTTTTTTTTTCCAGGAAAAATAAATAGAATTTACCTTTGGATCAAGTCCAAGTCCAGCCCGAGTTAATATGATGGCTAATGCAATATTCCTCAAAGCTGCAGACCATTTAAAATTTATCTGGACTTGATCAGTGACAACAGGGATATTTCTTATAAGAAAACCAGCTAGTAGCATTCCTGTAAAAGAATTATACATCAGAAACTTAAAACCATGTAAGCAGGTTGTCTGAGCCTACTGCACAATACTCGCCAAAAATGACAGCAATACAGGTATTCTAATTTTAATTTTCTCTAGAGAGTCAAGGATTGGGCTTGTGCACAGGGAGATTTTTACGCAAGGTGGAAAAAAAAAAAAACCAAAACCACAAAGTGCCATAAAAATCAATACAAAAATGCATAGATCAAAATGTCAATACATTGGGCACATTTACCATTTTTGTGGCACAGCAACGCAAGGCTCAACAGAAGTAGTGAAACAGATTGTGTGACAGATTTATTACAAGGTTACATGTTGAGCAGCTGCTCTAAAGTAGCATGTTATCAGAATTAAAAAATGGGAGAGAAAAGACATAGAGCAAAATGTACATAGTGTAGTAAAAATGAATATAGCCCCTGACTGATTAGGATAAAAATTTGTCTCATGTTCAGTAGTAAAGCTGTAGCAGACCTTTTGCAAACTGTCACAGTTGGCTATCCAGGATTTCAGGCACAAGGGTCACAAATAAACTGCTCAAAAAAATTAAAAGAACACTTTTTAATCAGGAGTATAGCATAAGGTCAATTAAACTGGGATATTGATCTGGTCAGGTAAGTAGCCGAGGGTGTTGTTAATCAGTTTCAGCTGCTTTGGTGTTAAATTAACAACAGGTGCACTAGATGGGCAGCAATGAGGCGACCCCCAAAACAGGAATTGCTTTACAGGTGGAGGCCACTGACATTTTTTGCACTTGGCTAGGGTCAGTGTCACTACTGGTAGCATGAGGCAATACCTGGACCCTACAGAGGTTGCACAAGCAGTCCAGCTCCTCCAGGATGGCACATCAATACGTGCCATTGCCAGAAGGTTTGCTGTGTCTCCCAGCACAGTCTCAAGAGCATGAAGAAGATTCCAGGAGACAGGCAATTACTCTAGGAGAGCTGGACAGGCCTGTAGAAGGTCATTAACCCATCAGCAGGATCGGTATCTGCTCCTTTGTGCAAGGAGGAACAGGACGAACACTGCCAGAGCCCTACAGAATGACCTCCAGCAGCCCACTGTTGTGAATGTCTCTAACCAAACAATCAGAAACAGACTTCATGAGGGTGACCTGAGGGCCTGACATTCTCTAATGGGCCCTGTGCTCACTGCCCGGCTCCATATAGCTCGATTGGCATTTGCCATTGAACACCAGAATTGGCAGGTCCACTGTGCTTTTCACAGAAGAGAGCAGGTTCACCCTTAGCACATGTGACAGATGTGAAAGGGTCTGGAGAAGCCGTGAAAAACATTATGCTGCCTGTAACATTGTTCAGCATGACTGTTTTGGTGGTGGGTCAGTGATGGTCTGGGGAGGCATATCCATGGAGGGATGCACAGACCTCTACAGGCTAGACAATGGCACCCTGACTGCCATTAGATATCGGGATGAAATCCTTGGACCTATTGTTAGACCCTACGCTGGTGCAGTGGGTCCTGGGTTGCTCCTGGTGCACGACAATGCCCGACCTCATGTGAAAAGAGTATGCAGACATCCTGGAGGATGAAGAAATTGATACCATTGAATGGCCCCCATGCTTGCCCGACCTAAATCCAATAGAAAACCTCTGGGATATCATGTTTCGGTCCATCCGACGCCACCACGTTGCACCTCAGACTGTCCAGGAACTCAGTGATGCCCTGGTCCAGATCTGGGAGGAAATACCCCAGGACACCATCCATAATTTCATTAGGAGCGTGCCCCGACGTTGTCAGACATGTGTACAAGCATGTGGGGACCATACAAACTACCATTTTGAGTTGCTGCAATGAAATTTCAACAAAATGGACTAGCCTACTGCATCATTTTTTCACTTTTATTTTCGGGGCGTCTTTGAATTCAGTCCTCTGTAGGTTGATAATTTTCATTTCCATCAAATGATGGGGCATCCTTACATTCCTAACACATTACCCAGTCCATATCAGTACAGATATCTAGTATGATGTTTTTCCCTATTGAGATCTGATGTGTTTTCTTTTAATTTTTTTGAGCAGTGTATATTGGGAAACCTGCTGCAAAGACTTTGCTGATCTGAGAGGCAGCAAGAATTGTGTTGCCCTTTATGATTAAGCCCAATGTAGGTGAAACATGGCTGATGGGTGGGGATGTGAGCTGAAGTCTACCTTTTATCTACTTTACAATGGCGTTAAATACAGTATGCAGTGACCTAATTGTGCTATAATTTTGCTAATTTGTTTGAAAAATGTCCCCCAAGTTTTAAGGTGGCCAAAGGATTGAAATTTGGCCGGTTCAGCAAGGACCAGTTGAATTTTGGTCCATGTGGGGCCACTGAACAGAGGTTGATCTATCAATAGACTTCTGTTGAACTGACCTGCTGTAAAAAAGCCACTCAATCAGCAGCTACAGCCAATGGCTGCAGCGGTGACCTGTGTATTCTGATTGTGGAGTAGTCCCCCCAGTGGGGAGAATTTCCTGTTCCACCTTGATTGTGTTCCTGGGGGAATTGGTTCATTTTCTTTTAATGAAAAAACTGTGCCATGTATAGACAGCTTTACACCGCATGCTGTTTGCCACAGCTGCAATGCAGTGTTTACTTCCTGGCTTCCTTGAAGATACCCCATGACCCATACTTTATTTGTTTAAAATTTACTTTTGACATTTTTTTGGAGAATGAGTATGGGTACTATGTACCCCATGCTCATTCACATGGTAGGGGTGCAGGATCTGGGAGACCCCTTGTTAAAAAGCCACCCCCCTCCCCTTCCTGGGCCAGGGTTCTGGGGAAGAGGCCGTTGTTCTCATCAACATGGGTACAAGGTGCTTTGTTGGGGGGGGGGTTCCCATTTCCTGGCAAAGTGCCCGCCATGTTGAAGGCATGTGACCTGGTATTGTTCAGGAGGCATGTGGAGCACTCGCTCCTCCCCTCTTTTCCTGGCTTGACGGGTCCCGGTCAAAATACATACCAGACCAGAAAGGCCCAGTTTGGAATCGGGAAGACTCACATACCACATTTAAAAAAAATAGGGGATGAATGACTGGTTGTTAGAACGCCAGCGGGTGCCTGCTACCAACAACCAGCACAAATTGCACACAAAAATTAATTCAAAAACGTATATTAGACACGATTCTGATGCACTTCTATTGAAGTCTATGGACCACAAAATCACACTGCATTCCACCAAAGTAGCACAGGACCCTTCCCCAAATTCACATCACAGCTGCATTGCATTGATATAAACAGGCACCACTGAAAGCAATGTTATTTCTATTGTCATGTGATTCAGTGTGATCCAAGACACATCTGAAATCGCATCAGTGGGAACCAGGCCTAAAACGTTCAAATAACATAAAACAATGGTGTTTAATTAAACAAAGAAAGTAGTTTAATTAGAACTGTATTATATTTATTTGCAATTATAATTGTTTCAGGTAGGATAAGACATTTTTCACATACCAAGTAATGGTGGTAATGGAGGTAGGTTGGATATCCTGATCAGACTGACCAGTTTGGCACCGATAACAGCGCACAAGAGCAGAGCAAGAATGCCAAAAAGATTTCCTCCTGGCAGGCATTCAGAACCTGTTATAGACCAAACCACTCCCCAAATTAGTGTCACCATCATAGCTGTGGAATGACAATATGTAAACAGGGTCACCAATAATGACAAACAATTTTAATGTATCACCTCATAAAGAATATAGGTTTTTACTGTACCATTGGTAACTGCAACAGCAAGTAATCCTTGGGGAGGACAAAAGCAAAACTTCCTTATTTTTATGCAGGTATTCTGTCTGCTTTCAGTGTCCAGGCGATGATGGCTGTCGCTGGTTAACAACTCATTTTCATCATTCTGGACCTTGCCAAGTACTGCTATTGGCATATCTAAAGGCCCACCCTACAAATAAAAGGACACAAAGTAGACAATAGCTTTACATTTAACAAATATCGAATTGGTACTGCATAAATGAACACGTTCTGTAGTACTTTACAGAACACCAAAGCCATTCACAGAACACTGAAGCCATTCATATCCGTCCTTATATTTGAATATGTTCTACATTTTTTGGGTGGAAGTCCATTTACCTACAAGAATGTTTTTGGGTTGTAGATTTGTCATTTCTATCAAAATGAAGACAAAGTAATGAAAGGAAACCTGTACTGTGAAAATAACTGCCAACCTCCTTCTGAATATAGTATTTGCCTGGCTGTCCCTGGTTTCAATAGACCAAGTTATTAACCGTGAAGCATGCCATCCCATCCCCCCTGCCCTACATGTTTGTTCCATGAAAAGGTTTCAGATAGTCTAAAAGACTTTAGATCAGCAGCCAGGCTAAGGACCAATATTTTAGGAGGGAGAAGTTATAACCATAGAGGTTGTGGTGAGGAGTGACTAAAAGAATTAAAAAGCCCTCCCAACTAAATCAGAGTATATAATAGTAAAGCCTCGCAGTTGTGGGGTGGTAAAAACATGTGGTTGAGCTGTGTTTTACTACCCCTCAACCGATTCCCCTTAAGCTGCAAAAGCAACAAATGGGGGTGTTCATACGCCGTGGGCAAAAATTATCTCCGAGACACATTGAGTGGGCAGTGGCCAGCAAATGCAATCCATTTAAATGCTTACATGGTGGTCCAAGTTTTTAGAGGTTAAAACAAACAGTCTTTAAAGAGGCGAAATGCGCCTATTTTTCACCTGTCAGGTGCTCTCTGAAAAGTGATTCACCGCAGATCGCTTTTCAGTGTGTAACACCAGTGCAAACAAACCCTAAAGCCTTCTTAAAACAAAAGGTATTTGCTTCTCTCATTGTAATAGCTCTGCCCACTGTCCTGAAATAGAGAATAATTCTCTTATTTATTAGATGGGGGTTGGAATGAAGCAAGTGGATCCCTTGTGTTTTTAGGCTTTACTGCGCTACACACTGATTCAATTAGAAGGCTTTTTGATGCCTTTAAGGCTGGACATACATTATACAATTATCTGGAGATTTTTGGTTTAGATTTACCAAAAACCATATAATAGGAGGACAAACCTAAACAACACTTTCAGTTGTATCCAATCAGGCAGACCCTCGTACTACACAGTTGAAGGTAAATCTAAAGGAAATTGGGCAGAAAATTGGAAGATAATTGTATAATGTATGGCCAGCCTTAGTCTCTTCTCCCTGTAACATGTATAATTATTCTGTCTTGCTGGGTCTCAAGCCCCACTTAAAAAAAAAGCCATGGTTTCAATACAACTGCAATGATAATGGCCAAAAAGCCTGAAACCACTGTATGCAGTTTGGAATAAAAGGTTCTATAATATTAGGTCATATTTGCATTATACAACAGCTGGTCTGGATGTGAAGTTGGCCTTTGGGGTGTAAAGGAATGATTTTGAATAGCTCTGCCCACTGTCCTGAAATGGAGAAGAATTCTATTTATGGGAGATATGATTGAATAAGATGTGAATACCTTCTGTTTTACGATTGAGAGGTTAGTAATGGCAGCCTACGCATTTCTAGGTATAGGTTTCCTTGAAGGTTTACATACCATGAATGTTGGACATGCCTCCATTGAGAACAATGTTCTAAGAGTAGCAGCCCTGCAAACTGTCGATAGCATTCAGTAATTTAATTTGCATTGAGGGAGAGGTGCTCACTAGTGAAGAACTAAATGAAAGAACAAGCACTCCTTTGTTTGGAAATCAAACAAACTATTGGAAACAGTGATAATGTTGCCCATCTACTTAAGCCTTGTACACACTAGAGAATATCGGGTAAATGATCATCTGGTTTTTTTTTTTTGCATGCTAGCCTCATATCAAAAATGAACAGGTTACTAAAGTTACGAAAATTCCCGTATGAGAAAATACACCTTTGGAATTAATGTATTGTATTCTTTCATTTGTGAGCATGCGTGGTCTTGGTCACAATTATCTTCAGACAAATATTGTATTGATTAAACAAAAAATGTTTGTTCTGGTATTGTTTCAGAAAAATTTTCGTGCCTTTGAATATTTCACATGAACGGTCATGATCAGCTCCCAAAAGCTGTGTACAAAATTAACAGATTATCGGACGATCGCTCCAAAAGCGGTATTTTGCATCCGATTTTCTTACCGTGTGTACTAGGCTTTATACATAGTATATATCATGACAGTTCCACTTACGCCCCAACTGGCTCCCAGGCACTACACAATGATAACAGCAAGCCTGCCCCCTGTTCCATTACAATACCATTATTATCACTGAATATAAATGAACCACTGGTTTCTTACAGCTTTATGTGACTTATATGGCAATAGTGCTGTGGATTTATTTTGAGGTTGGATTCTACATATAAAATATCATCAGTGTACCAACAGTAGCGGCAGCCACACCAACAAAAGTATTATGATGGTATATGGTAAGACAGTTTTCAGTTCCTTAAAATGGACTATACAAAGATTCCTACCCATAAAGGAAGCTTGCACTACTCGCCTCTCCTTTTACAATGCAAGTTGCTTGGTTGCCATACAAATCTAGTAACGTTAATTACCGTATTTTTCGCTCCATAAGACGCGCCTGACCATAAGACACGCCTAGGTTTTAGAGAAGAAAAACAAGAAAAAAAATATTCTGAACCAATGGACTGCAGACACAGTACAGGAGATGACCAGAGACTGCAGACATTGTACAGGAGATGACCAGAGACTGTGGACACAGTACAGGAGATGACCAGAGACTGCAGACATAGTACAGTAGATAACCAGAGACTGCGGACATAGTACAGGAGATGACCAGAGACTGCGGACATAGTACAGGAGATACCAGAGACTGCGGACATAGTACAGGAGATAACCAGAGACTGCGGACATAGTACAGGAGGTGACCGGAGACTGCGGACATAGTACAGGAGGTGACCAGAGACTGCGGACATAGTACAGGAGATGACCAGAGACTGCGGACATAGTACAGGAGATGACCAGAGACTGCGGACATAGTACAGGAGATGACCATGACTGCAGATAGTACTGACCAGGACATGCGGACATAGTACAGGAGATGACCAGAGACTGCGGACACAGTACAGGGGATGACTAGAGACTGTGGACACAGTACAGGAGATGACCAGATGGACACAGTACAGGAGATGACCAGAGACTGCGGACACAGTACAGGAGATGACCAGAGACTGCGGACAGTACAGGAGATGACCAGAGACTGCAGACAGTACAAGGGATGACCAAGAGACTGCAGACAGTACAGGAATGACCAGAGACTGTGGACCTTTGGGGAGGGAGGGGGAGCGGGTACCAGAATTTGACAGGTACCCGCTCCCACGGAGTTGTCCTCTCTTTAGTGTAGGTGCCCACTGCGTGAGAAGCGCTGCGCTTTGTGAATGGCCCGGCGTCTTTTGGGAGCTGTCATGTGTCCCAGAAGATGCCGGACCATTCACAAAGCACAGCGCTTCTCGCGCATGCGCAGTGAACACCCGACTGTCACAGCCGATTGCCCACACTAAAATTGCCGGCGCGGGAAGAAGGCACAGCGCTGGACCGAGGAACAGGTAAGGTCCTGCTGCACAGAAGAGCTGAGCGGCCGGTCCGGTATTCTGACACGGTGGCGGCGGTGGAAATACCGGACCGGCCGCTCCATATTCGCTCCATAAGACACACTGACATTTCCCCCCCTTTTTTGAGGGTAAAAAGTGCGTGTTATGGAGCGAAAAATATGGTACATAGTTACATAGTTAGTCTGGCTGAAAAAAGACAAAAGTTCATAAAGTTCAACAATAGAAAAAAACAAGTTATAATCCTATACCCACAGTTCACCCAGAGGAAGGCAAAAAAAAACACAGCAAAACATGATCCAATTTGCTCCTGCTAGGAATTCCTTCCTGATCCCCCCCGAAAGGAAATCGGATATTCCCTGGATCAACTTTACCTATAAATGTTAGTATCCAGTTATATTCTGTGTATCCAAGAAAGAATCCAGACCTTTTTTGAAGCAATCCACTGAGCTGGCCAGAACCAACTCTTGAGGGAGTCTATTCCACATTTTCAAAGCTCTCATTGTGAAGAAACCTTTCCGTGTTTGGAGATTCAATCTCTTTTCCTCCAGACGTAAAGAGTGCCCCCTTGTCCTCTGTGATGACCCCAGGATGAATAGCTCTACACCAAGTTCACTATATGAACCACTGATGTATTTATACATATTGATCATATGCCCCCTTAACCCCTTCACGCCGGCAGCACGCAAATGTGCGGCCTCCCGGCATCTGAGCCTAGACGCCGAGCGGCCGCACATTTGCATTCATGTAACAAAAAACATATGTGCTGAGAGCGCGCGCCCTGTGCGCTCCCAGCACACATGTGAGGTACTCACGGAAAGGTCCCAGTCCGCTCTTTCGTTCGGGACCTTTTCCCGATCATGTGACCGGCCGTGAAGTCACGGCGGCCACATGACACTAAGCCCCGTCCCATCCTGCCCACCTCCCGACGCAGGAACGCCTCTTCACGCCGGGAGGATCCGGCGTGAAGGGGTTAATCTCCTCTTCTCAAGAGCCCAGGTTAGACCAGGAACAAATATAAGGACAGGCCAATTCAGAAGGAGGTCAGCATTTTTCCTTGGCATCAGACACCTATTACATTGGCAACAGCAGTACCAAGCTTGCACCTAGAGATGCACGTCTATAGGTTTGCATGCCTGCCTCTGTGGAGATTTGTATATGAAGGGGCTGTGGAATTAGGCAGGGTGCTGAAGTTAATTCAATAGGTTTTCACAATCAACAAGTGTAAGTTAACCTCACCCTAATGTAACCCTGAACTTCAAGCTATCCCTAAACTTCAACCTTACTTTAAAACCAAAATCTCATCCAAAGTCCCAGTGCAATATTTTTATGCCTTTACAAATACCAAATCGAGGAAGTACGCATAAAATACAGAACAAATTACTAACTTACAAAGCCATCAACAACTCTGCCCCCAGCTACATCACCAACCTGGTCTCAAAATATCAACCAAACCGCTCTCTTTGATCCTCCCAAGACCTTCTGCTCTCTAGTTCCCGTGTCACCTCCTCCCATGCTCGCCTCCAGGACTTCTCCCGAGCTTCTACCATCCTATGGAACTCCCTACCCCAATATGTCCAGCTGTCTCCGAATCTATCCACCTTTAGACGATCCATGAAAACCTCTCTCTTTAAAGAAGCCTGTCCTGCTTCTACCTAGTAAACCTCCATTTATTTCCTCCATCAGCTCATCCCCCCTCAGCTATTAGCTTTTGTATCACTCAACCCTTCCTCTTAGATTGTAAGCTCTAACGAGCAGGGCCCTCTGTTTCCTCTTCTACCAAATTGTATTCTAACTGTAATGTCTACCTTCATTTTGTAAAGCGCTGCACAAACTGTTGGCGCTATATAAATCCTGTATAATAATAATAATAATAGTTCTCAAAATGTCCATGTTGCATGCAAAATGACCCAGTGGCATATTATAGCTCTTGTTGGCCCACAATCATTGCTTTTCCACAAATTTCTGTAAACAGTATTTTTTTGCTAAATAATTTTATGGCTACTGTTGAATACTCAGAACTTTTCTCTTCCACGTTTTCTTCCTATTATATTTCACCATGCATGCAAATTGACAAAATGAAAGTGTATGTACAAGTGACCTGAAAATTACAAATCAACGTGGTGGTGGGCTGTAAATGTTCTTTTATAATGGTTATCACAGCAATAAATTGAGAAAAGAATGGATTTATCATCGTTTACTGTTCTATAAAAAACATTTCTTATTTCCAGCATTACCTCGGCTATGTGGTTTGTGACACTGGATTCCATACAGACTTCCACAAGTCCACTTTCACATGTGTCACCTTGTCCCGCACTGCCTCTCTCATTGCAGGATTCCCTCCCCTCCATTCTGGAACACCTAAAGGAAAGCAAGCATAAGAGGAGTGGTAAGTGTTCTAATCAAAAGAGTATTAGGGCCCATTCACACTACTCTACAGCCCAAAACACTGCTGCCCACACAGCATCTTGGGCTACAGAGCTACACATCACACAGTTCCTTTTTTTCCCATTTAACGTTTTATAAAGGTGTACAAAGTGACACTTCATTTACATTGCTGAACAGCCCGGCCAGTACTTGCTGTCTGGTAACATCTGGGACTAAGCAGAATGGTGCGAAATTATGGAAACATGTTGCATAACATCACACTGCTCTAGAACGCAGTGAAACACTGTGTTCAGGTCTGAACATGACACACACTATTGTTTTCTGTGTCATTGCAGTTACCTGCATTTGTTCCATGAGGAAAAACACTGGTAGCTGCACATAGTGTGAATGGGCCCTTCTTATCCAGTACAGAGCTATGTGAACTTACCTGCCTCCTACCCTTTCCTTTCTTCTGGATCTCCAGAGTCAACTGAGCATATGGGTGCCAAAAGACCACAATGCAAGACTTCTCTCAATTAATCTTGTCTGACAGCTACAGCAATGTACTTTACAGTTTCCCAATGCAAGATTTCTCAATTCTCTTCATAACATTTGTGTTTTGTTAATGATAGTAAAGTTACAGAACAAATAGGTGTAGCTACCAAAAAGGAAGTTGTGTTGATAAAATGAGTAAAGCTACTACTCTAAGGCACTTGGTTTTAACAAAGGCACAATCAGGCACCTTGGGGCTAAGAGGGATCGGCTTTGCTTTTCCATATTTGACTTGTGTCTAAAACATGATTACTAAACCCACAACAGTAAAATCAGTCTGTATATGCAGTAAAGCATGCTTGTTATAGTCACAGTGGAACCTAAGGGGTTAATCCTCTGTAGTGTGTAAAAAGAGTGTTTGATCCTGTCTTCTCTGACCCTCCCCTTTTTCCACTGTCCCCAATCCATCTGCCAAACAGAGCAGTGAGAAGTCCGCACATGCAGTCTGAAATGTATTGTTAGAGGTTTTTTTTTTTTTTTTTTTTTGAGAGGGTGCATGTAATCAGCACAGGGCCAATCAGCACTGTTCACATAGAGGGTCAGGGGTCATGCAGCCTCATAGGATAATCAGAGGAGAATGAAAACTCCTCCTACAAGATTAACGAGTGCTTGGCCGGACATTTATAGAAGTCATACGACTTGTATATACTGCGAATGAGAAAAGGTATTTAGTTTTTATTTACTAAAATAATTGCATTTCCATGTTCTGTGTACTGCGGAAGATGGGATAAAGTTAATGCAGGGTCATGGTTTTAGTAACACTTTAAAGGCCAGGTTTCTCAACCAGGTTTCCATAGAACCCTAAGGTTCCTTTAAAGGTTGTAAGGGTTCACTTAGCTGCGGCAGACTGATCCCCCACCTACAGGCCCCTGCATAGTTTTGGCACCAATGTCACTTGGCAGAACCAGCTATGCTGGATTAGTCATGCCTCTCGGCTCATCTCAGTTACTGATACCAATGATCTTTTTCACTGTCTAGAAAGAGGCATACCTGCCATGTTTCTGTTCTTTGTTAAATACATGCACCCTAAAATGAAGTTAAAGTGTTAATAAACCCACAACAGTAAAATTAGTCTGTATATGCAGTAATAAATGCTTGTTATACTCACTGTGGAACCTAAGGGGTTAATCCTTCGCATTGTGTAAAAAGGATATTTGATCCTGTCTTCCCTGATCCGCCCCTTCTTCTACTGTCCTTAGTTCATCTTCTGATAGAACAGAGCCTTGGGGGCAAGCTACACATGCTCAGTTTGGTGTGTATTGCTAGAGTTTTTGTTTTCTTAGGAGAGTGCATTCAGTCAGCACAGGGCCAGTCAGCACTGTCCAGACAGAGGGTCAGGGGTAATGCAGCCTCATAGGACAATCAGGGGAGAATGAAAACTCCTCCTACAAGCTTTAACCAGTGTCTGCTGGACACTGATAGAGGTCACAAGACTGCTCTAACGGCTGATGAGAAAAGGTATTTAGCAGTTTATATTTACTAACATAATTCCATTTCCAAGTTCTGTGCACTGTGGGAGACCGGATATAGTGAATGCATGGTCCTGGGTTTAGTAACACTTTAGTCTTTTACAGTAGATTTTTTTTGTAAATATGCCACACTCTTTATTCCTTCATTTGGTATTATATATACAATGTCACGATAGAAAGGGCAAGAAAGACAGATCTAAACTAATGCTTAACTAGCTCCCCCCCCCCCCCTTCCTGAGCCATTCTGAGAAAAACTGTACTTTGAACTGCTTTGCTTTGGATACATTATTGAGATTGGTTGCCATTTCAAAAGTTCGACAAAACAAATGCACTCCCATTCCTTGCACCCGAACTGGAATTAGGAGGTGAAACGCTACTCATACACATGCAGCAAGTGCAGAGATGACCTCTAGATTTTGAGGTAGGCTTCCTGTGGGCTCAGACTGTAATAGACCACCGTTCACCTGGACATGTCAGAGAAAAGAGCAGAGAAAAGAGCCCAAGACAAAGCAGAGCACATACGCCAAAATGAATAGGACATCTCAGCACTTGTGTTTCTATAGAAACCCAAACACTGAGGAAGTGTACAGCTGCTTATGTATCATAGGGCAAGCACCTTGCCTCTAAAAAAATAAAATGTAATTTGTGCTTTGTCCATACAGCATATACGAAGGGCGTTCAAGTCAAACTGAGACTTTTCATTTTACAGGTCTAAAAAAAAAAAAAAAGATGCTAGCGCAGCAGTACTACACACAGTAGTAAATAGCAAGTGTGTCCTATTACTGTTAGGCAGGGCTGCTGTTAGAAACCACGGGGCCCCATACAGTCAACCTGACAGTCACCCCCCTAAAAAAAAAAAAAGCAAAAAAACAGTTTACTATGCTTCAGTTATTAATGCACACAGTGAGTAATTGGTACCGATCCCTCATTGTGTTCATTCAGGAAAGAAAGGGGCTGTTAAATGCGACATATTTATCGGACCCTTCTCCCACTCTCCATCCTGAAGGATTCTATTGTGTGCTTGCAGCTGCCAGTGGGAAGGAGAGGAGGGAAGACGGGGCACACTGGGGGGGGGGGGGGCCTGGGCAGCAGGGGGAAATGTATGATGCACAAAGAGGGCGATAGGTGGACCAGGAGGGCAATTACTGGAACTGATCCCCTGCATGGCTCCCCCTGCAGCAGTTGAAAGTGGGAGGGGAGAAGAAGTCAGCTTTCAGTTGCTGCAGAGAGCTATATAGGGGATGGGTTCCAGCAATTGTCCCCCCGCCATGCTGATCACCTTCCCTGCCCACATCTGATTCACTCAGCTGGTTTGGCCTCCCCCTGCTGGCCTGGGCCCCATACAGGAGGACTGGTGGTACCCCCTTATCCACGGCCCTGCTGATAGGCAATGCACATGTCGTGGACCAGTCCAGGGACTGTTAATCAGATTGAAGACAACAGTGTTAGTGCGTGCATGGAACAGTGTGTGGTGATGAAGTTTCTTGTGAACGAAGGCCAATATCTACAGAAGACTTCAAGCACAGTACAGCAATGAGCCACTTAGCCGCAATAAGACATTTGAATGCTGTAAACATTTAAAAAATGGCCATACGTCCATCAGTGACAATCCCAGCTGTAGTGGTACACAGCCCCCAGCAGTGTGAACATTCATAGGGTGGAATGCCTGATCCTGATCTACACTAAACAGCATGGAGGAATCACCACTGCCAGCTATTTTATTTAGCAGCTGCAGCACCTGCAGTTGTCTGAATACAACGGCACTGTAAACAATGACTATACCAGACAGAATGCAGTCACTGTTCGGGCGATAATTTTCCACCAATTTTCCAGCCAAATTTTTAGTTGAGCCAGGAGATCTTGCAGGGTAGCCCTGGGCTTGAATTTTGACACATTCAGCAGGAATTGGCCAAACATTCAAGCCTTCTATGCCCAGCCCTAGCTTCAATGTAAAGTAGAGATAAAGCTCAACTAAATAACATTTAGTCTGCTAAAACTCTGTGCAACATAAAATATTTGTTTTCCTCTATATCCATCCTTTGTTGCATCTCAGTGCTGCTGATCAGGGGAAGAATCTCCAGCACACACCCTATGTTTGACAGCCTCAACTCTCTTCCTGTGTGCTGTGTGAAGGGGGGGGGGGTGTCCCTTTTCTTCCAATCAGCTCTCAGAGCTCTCCTTACTGGGGTCTGCAGAGTGTAATTTCAGCTCTGTTTTCTAGAAACTCTGACAAGCTGTATAAATTCTGCAATTTGAACAGATGTAGAGAAAAGAATACAGAAGATAAACAGGTACAACTTACGTAGGTAGATTTGATTCATCTCTGTGTATCACCTGAGGCCAGTCACTTCACTGGGTGTATATAAGGGTTTACAACCATTTTAAATGAAAAAACATAAATATCAGCACAGGGGACATAAATTACGGTTAGTATGATGTGTTTCTTGTGTTGACTCCTTCAGGAGAAATCTACCTCAGACACTAGAGTACAGCTTCTATGAATGGTGGATCTGGCAGGTAAGGGTGAACATGGTCAAACTCTCTTGATGAGAGCTCCTGACAATCCTTTAGCTGTATTATTACCATGGCAGGGGTGGGTGGAGGCAGGGTCGGTGGAAGATTTCTCCTGAAAGAAAATCAACACCAGAGACACATCATGTTAACTGTAAGTTATGTCCTTTATGATGATTTTTACATTTTTCATTTCAGCTAAATGTGGGCATTAAAGCTTTAGTAAAGATGTAAAAACTTTTTCACAACAATCAGGGTACAATCGATTTATAGAACAAGTTGGGCGCAAAAAATGTATAGAAAAATGCAATCTATTTATATAGATTTATAGAATAAGCAGGTGCAATCTATTTATAAAATAAGCAGGCACAATCTATTTATAGAATAAGCAGGTGCAATCTATTTATAAAATAGCGCAGGCACAATCTATTTATAGAATAAGCAGGTCAATC